TCCTGGGCTCCAACAGTCCTCCTACCTCAGCCCCCCAAGTAGCTGGGACTACAGGCAGATGCCACCACGCCTGGCTAATTTGTGTGTGTGTGTGTGTGTTTTTCTGTAAAGGTGAGGTTTCACCATGTTGCCTAGGCTAGTCTCAAACTCCTGGACTCAAGCGATCTGCCCTTCTTGGCCTCCCAAAGCGCTAGGATTACAAGTGTGAGCCACCGCACCCAGTCTTATTCCTGTATTCAAATTTGATATTTGCCCCTTGCTAGCAACTATCTCCTAGAGTTTACTGTGAGAATAAATGAAATAATGCATGTAAAGATAAATGTATGTAGTAGGCATGAAATCAATGTTACATCTTGCCTTTCTGCCTTCTGTATCATCTCTGAACTCAGGTCTGGGAATCCAGGTTTCTGGATTATTCTCTATGTTGTGATTGGAAGGTTGGGCAGAAGTCACTTGAGTAGATACGCAGTGGTCTGCAAGATGATCCCCACACTTTCCACCCTTCCAGAACGGTGAAGGAGGGAACAAGAAGCAGTTGCCCTTGCCCATCGCTGCAGACCTTACCCTGCAGCCTGCTTCATTGGAATGAGTACTTTTCAGGGGAGTTAGCCAGTAGTACCTGTGACCGTGGCTGGTGAATGCTCCTGTTTCTGCTTCAAGTTTCTCCTTGCTGTGAGAAGAAACCTGTGGAGGTTCTGGAGGACCAGGTATGTGACTTGGTAGATCCCCGAGTGTGTTCCCAGGGACATTGCCTCCTGCAGGAGCCAAGGAAACAAAGAAGAGGCCCATAGGACTGGCGACTTTGGACCTAACAACTGCAAGCTGGTGGGACTGTGGCACAGGGGTGGGGCTGGCAAAGTGGGAATGTGATTCCGGCCGCTGATCACTTCACTGCTTGCCCTGGCTTGAAGCAAGTCTCAGTGGTTGGTCTCCAGAAACTCCGTGGAAATACTGCCAACAGGTTTTGGTCTTCTCCCACTTTCCTCTCCTTTTCCCTCTTTGTAGGGATGACGGTTGGGGTTTCTGAGCTGTAACCTGGTAGGACAGCTCTGGCAGTTGAAGTCCTGGTTATAATTTCTTCTAAACAGGAGATGAGGCTGAGGCCAACTCCCTGGCGTGGGGGAGTTGGTCCCCAACCTACTTTTTCAGCAGTTGGCCCTAGCCTGGCGCCCCCCATCCAGATGGGGCTTGTGTGTGGTCCTGGGTCCTGGGAAGCCACCTGTGGGGAGACTAGGTGTCAGGAGAAGGAGTTGAAGAACAAAGTGGATGAAAGAGACTTCTCCCAGCTGGCAGAAGATAGGGCACCAGGCGCCAGACCATTGATTCCTGAGATAGGGTACCAGGCGCCAGACCATTGATTCCTGAGATAGGGCACCAGGCGCCAGACCATTGATTCCTGAGATAGGGCACCAGGCGCCAGACCATTGATTCCTGAGATAGGGTACCAGGCGCCAGACCATTGATTCCTGAGATAGGGCACCAGGCGCCAGACCATTGATTCCTGAGTTTCTTGAAACCAGGCATCTCAGAGACATCTCTGACTGCCCTGCTGGGCTGGAGCTTCTGGGAGCAGGGAGGTAGAGGAGGGAGCTGGACTGGTGATGTGGGTGCTGGGACAGAATAGTGCCAGTCTCTCAGTGACTAGAGTCCCTGGTTTCTGCTTTTCCAGGACAGCTGGGGCCTTGTGAAAATCAGAGAGGGAACACATGCGAGAGGAATGGAGAGCCTTGTGCTTGTGACTCAGAGATACCCAGACCAGGGTGGGGGCCTTGGGAGGGGACAACCTTGTGATGAGGGGGAACAAGAGCAAGAGCTGCAGGCAGAAGTCTGAGATGGGGGTGTCACAGGGGCTTTTCTGAAATGTGAAAATGAATACATGGGCAGATTTTGCAACAGCACCCAGCCTGCTGTCTTCTCACACTTTGCTCCCCAGCCCCCGCCTGTTCCCCATGTCCCACCCTGTGCTTCCTCCCGTCTTTCAACCAGGCTCCTCTTCTGCCTCAGCCTTCAACTTTTCCTCATCTGGTCCCTTCTGTCCCATCCACACCCCCGTCCACTCTTTCCCTGTTTCCTCTGTTCTTTTCCCTGGTGCCCTGTTCATCTGTTTTAGTCTCTTTGGCTGCCTGCCCTGGCCCCCATCCTTCTGTGCTTTAATGTGGGGCCCATGGGAACTGGAGTTCATAGCAAAACAGGAAGAGCCCGTGAGCAGGAAACTGGGAATGGGGCAGGGGGTGAATGACCAGCAGTAACCTCAGCTCCTCGCCTCCTACATCTGGACTGGAGCATCTGCGGGGTTCTCAGCCTCTCCCCTGTAGCCCACCAGCCCTGGCTGCTTCCATTCCAGCACTTCACTGGCCCGAGATGCAACAAGACAAGATTGCCCTGGACTCTGACACAGCAAAGGGACTGGAGTGAGGACATCTGGGTTCTGATCCCAGCCGGGCCACTAACTGTGTGGTCTTGGAAAAGGCCCTCACATGAGTTTCAGTGTTCTCTGTCAAATGGAGCTCAGGTTACTTACTCTGCTTTCCTCCCAGGGCTGCTCTAAGGACCAGAAAAGATAGTGAAGGGTTTGTGCTGTGTATGGAAACAAGTACAAAGTTCAAAATCCACTGAGTTAAGGCAATGGGAACACCCACAACTGAAAGAACTAGGAGGGTGATGACAACTCGTGCCATTTCTCGAACACTTACTGTGTGCCACACGTTGTGATACAATCTGTAGTCCCTCCCTCCTTCCTTCCTTCCCTCCATCCTTCCTTCCTTCTTTTTTTTTTTTTTTTTTTTTTTATGGAGTTTTGCTCTTGTTGCCCAGGCTGGAGGGCAATGACGTGATCTCGGGTCATGGCAACCTCCGTCTCCCAGGTTGGAGCCATTCTCCTGCCTCAGCCTCCCAAGCAGCTGGGATTATAGGCATGTGCCACCACACCTGGCTAATTTTTTGTATTTTTAGTAGCGATGGGGTTTCACCAGGTTGGCCAGGCTGGTCTGGAACTCCTGACCTCACGTGATCCGTCTGCCTGGGCCTCCCAAACTGCTGGGATTATAGGCATGAGCCACTGCACCCAGCGTGATCTGTAGTTTCAATCTCACAACAACCTTGTGTGGTAAAAATGACTACTATCCCTATGTTTTCTTTCTTTTTTTCTTTCTTTTTCTTTTTCTTTTTTTTTTTTTTTCTGAGACGGAGTCTCGCTCTATCGCCCAGGCTGGAGTGCAGTGGCACAATCTTGGCTCACTGCAACCTCCCAGGTTCAAGTGATTCTCCTGCCTCAGCCTCCCGAGTAGCTGGGATTACAGATCCGTACCACCATGCCTGGCTAACTTTTGTATTTTTAGTAGAGGCGGGGTTTCACCATGTTGGCCAGGCTAGTCTCGAACTCCTGACCTCAAGTAATCCACCTGCCTAGGCCTCCCAAAGTGCTGAGATTACAGGTATGAGCCACCATGCCCAGCCTATTTATTTTTCAACATACCATTGCTGGCTCGAATATTCCTATTTTAAAGATAGGGAAACAAAGATTCAGAGACATTAAGTAACGTGCTCAATCAAGATCACATAGGTACTAAGAAGTTTAGGATTTGAACCCAAAATCTGAGCCCAGAGTCTGAACACTAAATCAACATGCTGAGTTGAAACTGACTACAGCAATTGTGAGTGCGTGCCTGTAATGCTAGCACTTTGGAAGGCTGAGGTGGGAGGATGGCTTGAGCCCAGGAGTATGCAACCAGTCTGGGCAACGTAGTGAGACCCCACCTCAAAAAAGAAAAAAAAAGGAATAATAAAAAAAATTGACTAGGGCTAACAAGTAGGGGATAGATGAGAATAATATTTTTCTTGTTATTCATTCAACAAATAGCAACACAGTACCTACTCTGTTGCCTCCTCTATGCCAGCCCTGTTTCAGGGGTTTTGGGGAAAATGAAATCAATAAAATATGATGTCTAGTTTCCGGGATGGATTTCATGCCCCAGGCAACAGAGTGGGAAGAATGGCTATAGTCTCAGTAGCTGCTGGTTGGAGCCTGCCATCACTTCAGATAGGGATGTTCCCCAGATGAGGCAACCTTCATACCTTCCCAGGTCCATCCTGGGCTGCCACCCGAGTTGCCTGCCTGCCTTCTGCCACGCCCCCACCCCTATCCCAGGCCTGCCATTGCTCATAGCAGATTTCCTACCAAAGGCTCTCCTGGCCTCCTCTCTTATCTGTGGCCCCCGCAGGGCACCCACTTTCAGAAACTCCCTGGAAGGCCCAGCACCTGCCTCTCTGCACCCCTGGATTTCTACCAGCTTGGCTGAAGCCTAGGGCTAGTGGGGAGAGCTTCTTGGCCTCTTCCCAGAGGCAAGGGAGGAGGAGGGAGGCTGGGAAAGCAGGCTGGGGCTCAGTGTCGCAATTCCGGGCCCTGCTGGGACCTTTGCTCCGAGAGGTGCCTATGGAAGGGAGGGAACACCGACTCTGGAGGCTGCTGGGATTGGGGTAGGGGTTCCTGGGAGGCAGTCCTTTTGCAAGAGCTGCTAAGAGCGCTGGGTAAGGAGAGGAAGGGGAGAGACATGGAACTTGGCAGGTCTGCAGCGAAATGCCACTGTTTTGACCGGGAGTAGGGGGTGGGAGTGGCGGGAGAGGGGGCGGCCGGCTGGGGAGGAGCCAGCCTGGTGGAGAAGCTGCCCTGTGGGCGGGGGTGAGGAGGGGAGGGCTGCGGTCGTCAGGCAGGAAGGAGGGGTGGCCTGACCCCTCGGCAGTCCCTCCCCTAGCCTTTCCCCAAATTGCTACTTCCCTGGGGCTCCAGGTCCTGCTTGTGCTCAGCTCCAGCTCACCGGCTGGCCACCGAGACCTCTGGACAGGGAACTGCACCATCCTCTTCTCCCAGCAAGGGGGCTCCAGAGACTGCCCACCCAGGAAGTCTGGTGGCCTGGGGATTCGGTGGGTCTGCTCCTTAGCAGTGGCCTGGGGCTCTGTGTGTGTATCTGGGGTGGGGTTGGCGAATGTCCTAAGGATCTTAGAAGGGGGTTTCTGGGGAGAAGTGAGGGGTGATGGTGATGGAAGCTTGGGAAAGGAACAGGACTCTGGGTCCCAGAATAACTCATGAGGGATTCGGGGGAGGAGGTCCTCTATGTGAATTGGGGAGATTCTTGGAGATAAGAGATTTGTGCTGGGACCCTGGAGAGTGGCATGAGCAAGGTCCTCTAATAAGCAGCGTGTTTCACTGAGTGGAGCGAGCTTCGATCCCGTCTCCTGGTCCTGCTCAACTTTGGCTGTCCTCAATGTTGGAGGGGGAAGGGGCCCGAGAGAAGCAGGGCAGATGTACCCAAACATTCCCTGCTGGTTTGGAGGGGACTTTGAGGGAGAAAGGCTGGTACAGTGACTGGGAGCTCAGACTTTGGAGTCAGACGAGGGTTGGAGTCTTGATTCTACCGCCGCCTAACTGTGTGACCATAGTTACTTAATCTCTTTGAACCTCAGTTTGCTTATCTGTAAAATGAGGTTAAGAATAGTCCTGAGCCGGGAGCAGTAGCATGTGCCTATAATCTCAGGTACTCAGGAAGCTGAAAGTTGATTGCCTGAGCCCAGTAGTTTGAGGCGATAGTGTCCTATTATTGCACCTGTGAATAGCACTGAGTTCCAGCCTGAGCAACATAAAGAGACCCTATCTCAAAAAAAAAAAAAAAAGACTAGTCTTGACCTCAGAGGGATATAATGAGGAAAGCACATAAAGCCTTATAATAGGCTGGGCGCAGTGGCTCACTCCAATAATCCCCGCACTTTGGGAGGCCCAGGTGGGAGGATCCCTTGAGCCTAGGAGTTCCTAGACTAGCCTGGGCAACATAGGGAGAACCTGTCTCTAAAAAACATAATAGTAATATAATAAAGCCTTAGTACAGGCTAATATATGGCAAGTAAATATTAGCTGATATTGTTGGTATTGATAAAAGGGAGGATCAGGTGGAGAAGGGAGCTGAGGCCAGAAAGGAGGCCAGTTCTAGAAGAGTATAACCTGAGTCCTTCCTGCAGGACAGTGCCTTGGTAATGACCAGGGCTCCAGGAAGAGATGTCCGTGTGGCTGGGGGCCCCTGTGCCTGACATTCCTCCTGGTAAGCTTCATTCCAGCCCTCTCCCCTGAGCCCAGACCGCAGGCTCCTCGCCTCCCCGTAGGAATCAGTCTGCTTCATTACCTGCCTTCTTCCTTCCTCCAGAGAGCAGTCCAGATTCATTCTTAGTCGTGGTTGCCTCTCCCCCGGTTCCAGTGCCTGGCCTTTGCAGGCTCCCGCCCAGTCCTCCCCAATCTGGGTTTGCTGCTAAAGAGTTGGTCAGCTGAGTGCTTACCCTGCTCTGGCTTTGAAGAGTTTTATCTGATCTCTGAAATGCATACACTCCAGCCCCCCAAAGAGACGAGGGTTAACATCTTCATTTAAGGTCTTGAGATGTAAGAAACTACAAGTGACTAGTCCTAGCTAGAGCCCACACAGACGCTAGGGTCCCAAAGCCTGAGCTGGGACTTTGCTGCCCTCTAAGGGTGGGGATAAGTTTTCAGTTTCCCAGCTAGGACACTGGGCTATGGAGCGGGGATGGAGCCTGAGACCCCCATGTGCCTCTCCTTTGGAGCTCAGACTCTGCAGCGGAGCTGTGGAAGCCAGGTGCACAGGATGCAAGCAGCCAGACCCAGGGAGGCAACAGCCGCATCCTCAGAGAGGAAGCCAGGATGCCCCACTCTGCCACAGGCACTGCAGGGGTGGGGCTGGAGGCTGCAGAGCCCACAGTCCTGCTCACCAGGGCAGAGCCCCCTTCAGAACCCACAGGTGAGGAGCTTCTGGGTTTGGAGGAGGTAGGGGTCCAGATTCCAGGTCCTGGATCTGGAAGAGGTTCCTTGGGGGTTTTTACTTTATATGTAATCTCATGGTTAAGTCCAAAGGCTTTAGAGCTAACTAAATCTGACTGATCTAAGTGTGAATTCTGTCTCTACTTTAGGCCTTCCTGAGCCTCAATTTCCTTGTTTATAAAATGGAAAAAAATTATGTTTGTCATAAGGATCAGTGCATATGAAAAGCTCATACAGTACCTAGAACATAATGGCACTTGGCCAATGAGGGCTACTCTTCTCATAAAAGAGAGACTGGAGTTTGTATAATGAAGGGAATGAAGGTCACTGAGTGCCCAGGGCAGTGACTGAGTCAGGGAGAACATGAACTTTTTTCCTTGGGGGAGAGCATTGAAACACTTTCCTGTAACCAGAGATCCGTCCACAAAAGCGGAAAAAGGGGCCAGCCCCCAAAATGCTGGGGAATGAGCTATGCAGCGTTTGTGGGGACAAGGCCTCCGGCTTCCACTACAATGTTCTGAGCTGCGAGGGTTGCAAGGGATTCTTCCGCCGCAGTGTCATCAAGGGAGCGCGCTACGTCTGCCACAGTGGCGGCCACTGCCCCATGGACACCTACATGCGTCGCAAGTGCCAGGAGTGTCGGCTTCGCAAGTGCCGCCAGGCTGGCATGCGGGAGGAGTGTGAGTTTCTGGGGCTGGGGGGGGAAGAGGCTGAGGGGAAAAGAGGGGGCCAGGGTGTGACCCAGGACAGGTGCCTGAACTTGTAGGGGCCAACTGATCCCTAAGTATGGATTAAAATATATTTCTTGACCGGGCGCGGTGGCTCATGCCTGTAATCCCAGCACTTTGGGAGGCTGAAGCAGGCGGATCACCTGAGGTCAGAAGTCTGACACCTGCCTGGCCAATGTAGTGAAACCCTGTCTCTACTAAAAATACAAAAATTAGCCGGGTGTGGTGGTGAGCGCCTGTAATCCCAGCTACTCAGGAGGGTGAGGCAGGAGAATCACTGGAACCCGGGAGGCGGACGTTGCGGTGAGCTGCGATCGCACCACTGCACTCCAGACTGGACGAGTGTGAGACTCTGTTTCAAAAAAAAAAAAAAACTTCTTGCGTTTACCCAGTGCTGTCTGTTTTTCTGGAGCCCCAAACTGCCCCTTTTGCCCCATCCTTGCTTCCTGTCTCCTCATATTTGGTCCTGTCCTTAGGTGTCCTGTCAGAAGAACAGATCCGTCTGAAGAAACTGAAGCGGCAAGAGGAGGAACAGGCTCATGCCATATCCCTGCCCCCCAGGGCTTCCTCACCCCCTCAAATCCTGCCCCAGCTCAGCCCGGAGCAATTGGGCATGATCGAGAAGCTGGTCGCTGCCCAGCAACAGTGTAACCGGCGCTCCTTTTCTGACCGGCTTCGAGTCACGGTACTTGACACACCTGGGGAGAGGCGGCTGCACCCAGATCACCAGTGGGCTTCTTGATGTCCGACTCAAAGCGCTTTGCCTTTTCCCTCCTGGGTAGCCTTGGCCCATGGCACCAGATCCCCATAGCCGGGAGGCCCGTCAGCAGCGCTTTGCCCACTTCACTGAGCTGGCCATCGTCTCTGTGCAGGAGATAGTTGACTTTGCTAAACAGCTACCCGGCTTCCTGCAGCTCAGCCGGGAGGACCAGATTGCCCTGCTGAAGACCTCTGCGATCGAGGTGGCTGGAGAAGGGCAAGGGATGAAGGGAGAAGCAGAATGGGATTGTCTGTGGGAGGGGCCTCCAGACATCGGGAGAACCAAATCTGCTGGGAAGCAGGGATGAGGGGAATCGGCCTCCCTGGAAGGGGCTATGCTCCAAGACCAACCTTCCTAGTCCCCGTTTGAGGTCTGCTGCTTGTGTGCAGGTGATGCTTCTGGAGACATCTCGGAGGTACAACCCTGGGAGTGAGAGTATCACCTTCCTCAAGGATTTCAGTTATAACCGGGAAGACTTTGCCAAAGCAGGTGAGAACTGAGATCACACAGGGATTGGGGCTGGATGGACAAATGCTTCTTTTTTTATTTTTTATTTTTAAAAATTGAGGGCCAGGCGCGGTGACTCATGCCTGTAATCCCAGCACTTTGGGAGGCCGAGGTGGGCAGATCACAGGGTCAGTAGATCAAGACCATCCTGGCTAACACGGTGAAACCCTGTCTCTACTAAAAATACAAAAAATTAGTCAGGCATGGTGGCACGCGCCTGTAGTCCCAGCTACTCGGAAGACTGAGGCAGGAGAATCGCTTGAATCCGGGAGGCGGAGGTTACAGTGAGCTGAGATCATACCATTGCACTACAGCCTGGGCAACAACAACAAAAAATTGAGATGGAGTCTCACTATGTTGCCCAGGCTGGTCCCAAACTCCTGGCCTCAAGTGATCCGCCTGCCTTGGACTCCCAAAGTGCTGGGATTACAGGCGTGAGCCACCCACCATGCCTCGCCAAGGACTGTTTCTTTTTTTGTTTCTTTTTTTTTTTTTTTTTTAAAGACAGAGTTTGCTCTGTCGCCCAAGCAGGAGTGCAGTGGTGTGATCTTGGCTCACTACAACTTCTGCCTCCCGGGTTCAAGCAATTCTCCTGCCTTCAAGCAATTCTCCTGCCTCAGCTTCTTGAGTAGCTGGGATGAGGTGCACCACCACACCCAGCTAATTTTTGTATTTTTAGTAGAGACAGGGTTTTACCATGTTGACCAGGCTGGTCTTGAACTCCTGACCTTAAGTGATCCACACACCTCAGCCTCCCAAAATGCTGGGATTACAGGCGTGAGCAACTGAACCTGGCCAGGACTCGTTCTTTTTGTCATAGGCCCATAGTGACTACAGAGCCACAGGCCCAACATTTGAGTGACTAGTAAGGGAAGGTTCCCCTTATTTTTTAAAGATGGAAAATTGGAATGCTGATAGGCTTCTCTCAGCTGCTCCAGATAGACCCCGTCCTCTGTTGCTTTAGGTCAGTGGTTTTCAAAATGTATTCCAAGGAACCTGAGAGATATATGGAATGGCACCTTGGAGGAGAAACAGGGAGGCACAGGAAGTGAACTAATCTTCCTCACATGTGCTCTTTGGGGATCATGGGGGCTGATTTCCCCTACTCTTTTTTTTTTTTTTTTTTTTTTGAGATAAGTTCTTGCTCTGTCACGCAGGCTAAAGTGCAGTGGCATGAACGTGGCTCACTGCAGCCTCAACCACCTGGGCTCCAGTAATTCTCCTGCCTCAGCCCCCCAAGTAGGTGGGACTACAGGCATGCATCACCATGCCAGGCTAATTTTTATATTTTTTTGTAGAGACTGAGTTTCGCCATGTTGCCCAGGCTGGTCTCGAAATGGTCTCAAACTCCTGAGCTCAAAGGATCCACCCACCTTGGCCTCCCAAAGTGCTGGGATTACAGGTGTGAGCCACCACACCCAGCCTCCCCTACTCTTTTTTTTTTTTTTTTTTTTTTGAGATAGAGTCTCACTCTGTTGCCAAGCTGGAGTGCAGTGGCACGATCTTGGCTCACTGCAACTTCCACCTCCCGGGTTCAAGCGACTCCCCCGCCTCAGCCTCCCGAGTAGCTGGAACTACAGGCGAGCGCCACTACGCTCAGCTAACTTTTGTATTTTTAGTAGAGACAGGGTTTCACTGTGTTGCCCAGGCTGGTCTTGAACTCCTGAGCTCAGGCAGTCCACCCGCCTCGGCCTCCCAAAGTCCTGGGATTACAGCCATGAGCCACCACACCAGGCCCCTCCCCTACTCTTTTTCAATTACACTTTCTGATGAACTGGAACCATGGCATGGCAAACATGCCCAGAGGGGATGTACAATAAGAGCGAATGTTTCCATCCCCATCCTATATCTGAAGTATTTTCTCCAAAAATTACTTCATACTGCGGCTCTCTAGCTGATTCTCGCTTGGGAGCTACGCAGAAGGGGTTTCTTCATATTCAACTATTGGTCATGTTTGTGTCATGAAAACTGGCCTGGGAAAGGATGGGAGGCTGAGGGACTTTTGGAGGGAGTGGAATTGAGCTTCAGCAGGAAACCAAGTAGCTTAACAACTGGATGAGTGGGGCTCTAAAATATGGCTGATGCCCTGACTCCATTCTCAGGGCTGGTAGATCTGTGGCCAGGCCAGTCATCAAGCCTTCCCTGGTTTCTGACAACTCAGGTCAGCTCACGTGCCTCTTGCTCTCCCAACACAGGCCCACCCAATGAGCTTTCTAGGAAGGCCACCCTTCACTGTAGGGCATAATAGGGCTATGTTGGCACCTTTTGCCTTCTATAGTGCCCGGTGTGCTGCCCGGATGTGTTGGCACCTAATGGGGTGATTTAATGACTTTACCCAGCTTTAAAGCCCAGCCCTGCCCCCTCTTCCAAACCATTTTTTCCTCGATGGTTATTATCTCAGACCTTCTTAACCATGGCTCTCCCCTCCTTCAGAATATCCTCCTTGTGGAACCCTGCCCAGTTCTTTTTTTTTTTTTTTTTTTTTTTTTTTTTTTTTTTTTTTTGAGACGGAGTCTTGCTCTGTCACCCAGGCTGGAGTGCAGTGGCCGGATCTCAGCTCACTGCAAGCTCCGCCTCCCGGGTTCACGCCATTCTCCTGCCTCAGGCTCCCGAGTAGCTGGGACTACAGGCGCCCGCCACCGCGCCCGGCTAATTTTTTTTGTATTTTTAGTAGAGACGGGGTTTCACCATGTTCGCCAGGATGGTCTCGATCTCCTGACCTCGTGATCCGCCCGTCCCGGCCTCCCAAAGTGCTGGGATTACAGGCTTGAGCCACCGCACCCGGCCCCCTGCCCAGTTGTAAGATCTCTGTATTAGTTTGGCACTCGTAGACTCGTGCTATCTGAATCTGCACCTATTTGTAGATTTATTTATTTACTTATTTTATTTTATTTATTTTTTTTGAGACGGAGTTTCACTCTTGTTGCCCAGGCGGGAGTGCAATGGCACAATCTCGGCTCACTGCAACCTCTGCCTCCCAGGTTCAAGCGATTCTCCTGCCTTAGCCCCCCGAGTAGCTGGGATTACAGGCATGTGCCACCATGCCTGGCTAATTCTGTATTTTTAGTAGAGATGAGGTTTCTCCATGTTGGTCACGCTGGTCTCAAACTCCCGACCTCAGGTGATCTGCTCGCCTCGGCCTCCCAAAGTGCTGGGATTACAGGTGTGAGCCACCGCGCCCGGCCCTTGTAGATTTATTTATACAAGCAGTTTTGAAGTAATCATGCTTGCCTTTCATTTTTCATTTCGTGAGTGAGGTCTTGGGGAGAAGGAACTGGAGCTCTGTTTGTCACGTCTCCTCCTCTCTCTATCCACTACTATTTACTGCATGCGGTAGATGACTGGTGACACGGACTGAGCACATTTGAGGTGTTCATTCCATGGGCATCAGCAGACCCTCACAGGTGCATTAGCCAACTATAGAACCTCCTCTTAATTTGTGTATAAAGGGGGCTGTTTGCCATACTTTGGGGCTCAAAACCTCACCAAGAAATGCTTTAGAAAATGGGGCTTGCCGCTGGGCGTGGTGGCTCACACCTGAAATCCCAGCACTTTGAGAGGTCTAGGCAGGCGGATCACCTGAGGTCAGGAGTTCGAGACCAGCCTGGCTGACAGGGCGAAATCCCATCTCTACTGAAAATACAAAAATTAGCTAGGCGTGGTGGTGCACCCGTCCCAGTTACCCAGGAGGCTGAGGCAGGAGAATCGCTTGAACCCAGGAGGCTGAGGTTGCAGTGAGCCGAGATCGTGCCACTGAACTCCAGCCTGGGTGACAGAGCAAGACTCTGTCTCAAAGAAAAGAAAAAAGAAAAAGAAAATGGGGCCTGCCCATTAAATGGACTAACACACAACACTTGATAAACATCAGGGTGAAAGTACAGGAAGTGACTCACCAAGAAGCCTTGAATGGAAAAGTGTAGCAGATGGTTGCTAAAAGAAATCTGACAAAGCCTGAGGAACTGTGCAGGGTGCAGAGACTTTGACAATGTGTATGAGAGACATATTCTCTAGGTATCATGACTTTAACTCATGGTTTGTTGCATTTTAGTCTTCTCAGCAGGAAGACTGTTTCCATGAAAAACTGATTATTTATTGGCCGGGCGTGGTGGTTTATGCCTGTAATCCCAGTACTTTGGGAGGCCCAGGCAGGCAGATCATGAGGTCAAGAGATCGAGACCATCCTGGCCAACATGATGAAACCCTGTCTCTACTAAAAATACAAAAATTAGCTGGGCGTGGTGATGTGCACCTGTATTCCCAGGTACTCAAGAGCCTGAGTCAGGAGAATCGCTTGAACCCGGGAGGCGGAGCTTACAGTGAGCTGAGATTATGCTACTGCACTCCAGCCTGGTGACAGAGTAAGACTCCATCTCAAAAAAAAAGAAAAAAAAAATATATATATATATATATATTTATTTTACAAGCACTTATGTGGTAGTTACCATATATGCCACATATTTATGAGATAGGTACTATTATTATTCCCATTTTACAGATGGGAAAACCAAAGCCCAGAGAGGTTACATAACTTACACAAGGTCACGTTGCCTTATAAGTGGTAGAACCAGGACTCAACCCCAGGCAGTCTGGCACCAGAATCCACATCCTCACCCATACTGCAATATTCCCTCTAGGATGTGATACATGAAATGTATCTCTAGTGTTCAAATAAGTAAGGCCAATGCCAGTGAAAAACAATGCTTTTTTTTCCTTTAAAACAGGGTCTCACTCTGTCGCCCAGGCTGAATGCAGTGGTGTGATCAATCATGGCTCAATGCAGCCTTGACCTTCTGGGCTCAAGTGATCCTCCTTGAGTAGCTGGGATTACAGGTGTGAGCCACTGTGCCCTGCTGAAAAAGGATTCTTTTATTTTTTTATTTTTTATTTTTTTTTTGAGCCAGAGTCTTCTGTTGCCCAGGCTGGAGTGCAAGTAGCACGATCTCAGCTCACTGTAAGCTCCGCCTCCCAGGTTCAAGCAATTCTGCTCTTCAGCCTCCCACGTAGCTGGGACTATAGGTGCGCCACCACGCCCAGTTAATTTTTGTATTTTTAGTAGAGATGGAGTTTCACTGTGTTGCCTAGGCTGATCTCGAACTCCTGAGCTCAGGCAATCTGTCTGCCTCAGCCTCCTGAAGTGCTGGGATTACAGGGATAAGCCACCACATCCGGCTCTTTTTCTTTTTCTTTTCTTTCTTTCTTTTTTTTTTTGAGATGGAGTTTCGCTCTGTCACCCAGGCTGGAGTGCAGTGGCGTGATCTTGGCTCACTGCAACCTCCGCCTCCCAGATTCAAACAATTCTTCTGCCTCAGCCTCCTAAGTAGCTGGAAATACAGGCGTGCACCACCATGCCCAGCTAATTTTTGTATTTTCAGTAGAGATGGGGTTTTGCCATGTCAGCCGGGCTGATCTCAAACTCTTGACCTCAGGTGATCCGTTTGCCTCGGCCTCCCAAAGTGCTGGGATAAAAGGCGTGAACCGCCATGCCCTGCTGAAAAAGGATTCTTTATAAACAAAAATAAGAGTTGCTTCTATTTCTAGAAATGTGGAGCCCTCAAGAATTTTAATAACAGAATTGGCGGGGAGTGGTGTCTGACACCTGTAATCCCAGCACTTTGGGAGGGCGAGGCGGGTGGATTGCTTGAGTCCAGGAGTTTGAGACCGGCCTGGGCAACATGGTGAAATCCTGTCACAACAAAAAAATAAGAATTAGCTAGGTGTGGTGGTATGCACCGGTAGTCCCAGCTACTAGGGAGGCTGAAGTGGGAGGATTGCTTGCGCCTGGGAGGTCGAGGCTGCAGTGAGCTGTGATCGTGCCACTGCACTCCAGTCTGGGTGACCAAACAAGACCCTGTCTCAAAAAAAAAAAACAAGAATACCAGAATTATTATCATGTAATTCAGCACCTCTTGTGTGCCAGACACAGCACTAAGTGCTCTGCATACTTTGTCACTGAACTATCCCAACAATTTTCTGAGATGGGTTTAGATATGATTCTCATTTCACAGATGAGGCTTAGAGGGGTTAAGACATTTGCTCAAGGTTACACAGCAAAGCCCTATAGCCTTTTTTTTTTTTTTTTTTTTTTTTTTAATGGAGTCTCCCTCTGTCGCCCAGGCTGGAGTGCAGTAGTGCGATCTCGGCTTACTGCAACCTCCACCTCGCAGGTTCAAGTGATTCTCCTGCCTCAGCCTCCCAAGTAGCTGGGATTACAGGCACCTGCCACCACGTCCAGCTAGTTTTTGTGTTTTTAGTAGAGATGGGGTTTCGCCATGTTGGCCAGGCTCTTCTCGAACTCCTGACCTCGGGTGATCCGCCCGCCTCAGCCTCCCAAAGTGTTGGGATTACAGGCGTGAGCCACCGTGCCCAGCCCCGGTAAACTTCTTAGTGAGTTCCTAGTAGTTCTCTAAGGTAAGGCGCTGGAGGAGAGAAGGAAGTTCCTGCTGCTCCTGCTGCATGTGTCAGCCTCCCTTCTTCCTCCCCAGGGCTGCAAGTGGAATTCATCAACCCCATCTTCGAGTTCTCCAGGGCCATGAATGAGCTGCAACTTAATGATGCTGAGTTTGCTTTGCTCATTGCCATCAGCATCTTCTCTGCAGGTGTGGAGGAGGGGCAATGGGAAACAGCAAGAGACTTGCACCAAGGAGGGCTGCAGGCCCCACAGGAATCAGGGGGTGGCTTGGGAGGGTGGAGGCATTTGCTCTGTTATTTAGGGATGAGAGAGCTTGGCTGGAGCATGTCTCTATATTTTGGTTGCAACTTGGGGTATGGAACTGGACCCTGGCCAGACCTGCTTCTCAACTCTCTTGGTGACCTATAGACCGGCCCAATGTGCAGGACCAGCTCCAGGTAGAGAGGCTGCAGCACACATATGTGGAAGCCCTGCATGCCTACGTCTCCATCCACCATCCCCATGTGAGTCTCCCCATGGTGCCCCTTTTCCTCCTTCCCACACACAGGCCCATTCCCTGATACACCTACTTTCCCTTCAAGAATTTCTCTCTGACTGCATGGTGTGCAGACAACTCACCTCTCCCACAACTCCCCTACCCTTGCCCCGCTTCCCTGCAGACAGGCAAAAGCTGTTCTTGTCTCTCTCCTTTCCCCAGGACCGACTGATGTTCCCACGGATGCTAATGAAACTGGTGAGCCTCCGGACCCTGAGCAGCGTCCACTCAGAGCAAGTGTTTGCACTGCGTCTGCAGGACAAAAAGCTCCCACCGCTGCTCTCTGAGATCTGGGATGTGCACGAATGACTGTTCTTTTCTCATATTTTGTTTTCTGGGCCGGATGGCTGAGGCCTGGTGGCTGCCTCCTAGAAGTGGAACAGACTGAGAAGGGCAAACATTCCTAGGAGCTGGGCAAGGAGATCCACCCGTGGCATTAAAAGAGAGTCAAAGAGTTGGGAGTTTTGTGGCTACTGAGCAGTGGGGCGCCCGCTAACGCTGTGCTGTATCTGAAGACCACACTGATCCCACAAACGGATGGGCCTGGGGGCCACTTTGCACAAGGTTCTCCAGCGCCCTGCCCATCCTGCCTCCACCACTTCCTGTTTTTCCCACAGGGCCCCAAGAAAAATTCTCCACTGTCACTTTGTGGTATGGCCATAAATGTCTCAGCGCCGCCTCACTGATAGGTCTGGTACTGTTTGAACAGGAAGATCAAAATGAATACAAAATGAGAGAAACCAATGTCTGTATTGGGGGTGGGGACACGGTAGTAGAGGAGGAAGCCTGCGATCTTTAGGATCCGCCTCCAGGCTCAGAGGAGGGAGGGTCACAAGTGACAGGCTTGGCCGTGAGAGGGGGCCTCTTCTTACTAACCCCCACTGCGACATATGAATAAATGGAATGCTGAGGCTTAGGCGCCCCCTTCCCCTGCTGGGATCCAGGTAGGATCCGGTTGCCTTTCTGCGGGGGAGGAGGAAGTGTTGGATTTCAGCGCTAAGGCCTCGGCGGTGCACCTCACGTGCGTGTCTAGCATGCCGTAGTTTTTCCTTTGGCATCTGAAAAAGGCACAACCTGAAAGACCCAGAACCCAGTTTCGGCCCCCAGGTCCTTTGGGACAGGAAGAGAAGAGTCGTGTGGCCGCGAGGAGGCTGTCCTGCGGCGGGGCTGGCCTCGCGGACGCAGGGGACTCCATTTCCCAGCGGGCGCCGCGGCGCTGCCACGCCCCCCTCCCCGCGCGCGCCCGAAGGAGGTAACGGCGGCCGCGCGCCCCCCTGCGCCCCCGCTGCCCAGGATTGGTAGGCTCCACCGCGCGACAGCCGGCTTGGGCTCCGAGCACCGCCAAAGCGAGTGAGGTGTGGGAGCAGGGGGATGGGGAGCCCGTCAGGAAGTCTCAGGGGCCGATTATCTTGGGAAGTGACTTTCAGAGGAATCCACATGTCGTCGAAATGGGCGCTATGACCCCGTCGGGTTAAAGTCTTTCTGAGCGACCCAAACAGAAGGTACTGCCGTGTGTCCTCCCCTTTGCACGCGACGGCGCTGGGTCGGCCTGGCGCGCCCTCCCGTGCCCATGGGCGCTAGACTAGGTGTGTGCGCAGCCGCTGTCTCCGGAGGTCGGCCCCGCCCCGCGGCGCTTGGCTCGGCGCAGCCCCGGCCCCCCGGGCTGAATGGTACGGCCCCGGCCCCGGCCTCCCCCTCCGCACCCCGCGCGAGTGGTGCGCGCCCCCCAGTGCAGACGCGGAACTGGCGCCCGTTCGGAGCGGCGCCGCGCTGGGGAGCGACTGACGCCCCGCTGCCGGGGACGTCGGTCCGGGCCTGGCCAGTCCCCCAGAGCTTGGGAGGTAGGAGAGTCTGGGCCGGTGGGGGTTTTGGGCGAGCGTCTGGGGACTCCGAGTGGGAGACGGGCTCTGAGAGGACACCGTGGCTCTTGGAGGAAGGGGTCTCTGAGGAGGCTCTGGAGGAGTGTGAAAGGGCGTGGGGCGGGGCCAGGGATGGGGGCGCCCCGGGCCTAGGAGGGGGCTCGGGCTACTGGGCTTGGTTCCTGCGGGGCGGGCGGCGCGGGTTCGGGTTCGGGGCGGGGGCGGGGGCGGAGGAGAACTGTCCAGCAGGTGAGGGGGCGGGCAGAGCTGGGCAGCCTTGGGGCCCGATCCCGCACAGCGCTTGGCGGGTGTGCTTGTGCGTGTGCGTGCATGCGCCTTATTTTTGGCTGAAATTTGGAGAACCACGTTTGGTTCTCAATAATTTTTTTTTGTTTTTTTAATTTGATGTTTCAAAATTGACTTGCTGGAGAGTGAGAACGCTATTTCATCTTTCTGCAGTCACTCTCCTCCCTATCCTCGTGTATCTACCTTCTTCCACCTTTCCCTGCCCTTCCCTCTACCCCAACCCTGCCAGCTGCCAGCCTCCTTGCTCCAGTTCTTCCGCACGCTGGACCAGTCCGTGCTGATGAGCTTGCAAGGTCACTGCCTGGGGAGGTAGAGGAGGGGAGGAGAGCCTCCTGTTGTGCTCACGTCAGCAGAGATGTCATATTGCTCTCTGGTTCCTGTGGTTTTACTGTGAGATCCTGTGCAAAATGAGGGACGAATCCAAAGGGTTGGTTAGCATGGCCATTTCTGCTGAAAAGACATAGATAACTTAGAAGTTTGTGAATCCTAATTCTACCTCTGGGTGGAGCTGATGGTGATGTCGGACTTCAGCAGATAGATATGCATTTTGAGCTTGATGCTTTTGGAATACATGAAGACAGGAACCAGAGGCTCTATGTTAGTAAATATGGTTGAGGCTACAGGCAAGAGTCGGAGCCTCGTTGGTTGTGAAGACAGAGTGTGAGTTGTGGGTGATGTTAGAGGGTTTAGTCTTTAGAGGAGTTAAAGATGTTAATCTTTGTGGGGAGGGGAGAGAGGAGACAATGAGAAGAAAAATCTTAGTTATCTCTGCAGTCTGAATAACTGAAGGCAGTGGCTGCTGATTAGATGAATTCTGGCTAAAAATCGTATCCTACCCATAGCTAGAATAATAACAAGATCTCAGGGTCCTTGTGGCTCTGGAAGGAAATGATTGTGAGTGACTTGAGTTTCATCAGATAGTTCTCAGTGGATAGGGACTGAGATCCCTCCAAGGCTAGAGGGGCCTGATGCGTACTCAGTAGGAGGTGCTTCAGGCCTGATCTTTGAGATTTTGACTGGAGAGGACTCCTGGTTTTCAATATAAACATAGATTGCAAGGTGTAGCCTAGAGCTCTGGTTCTATAAATTTTGTTTTACTTTGAGATACTTTGGCTTTTGCTGTAGTCATTTCTACACAGTTCTTTTTTTTTTCGAATCCCATGACAGATTAACTACATAATTCTTTGTTGGAACAAATCATGCTTTTTACTCATATCCCATTTCATTTCTCTGTTTCTCTCCCCCTTGCATTCTGCTCAGGAGGAGCTGAGTGCAGCTCTGTTACGGTGCCCCACCTCCTGTAGTTTGCTCATGACTCTTGCAATTGGGAGAACCAAAGGGACCGTTTGGGTTTGTTAAGCAGTGGTGATACCTAGAAATGAATATACGGCATGCTCGGAAACCTGGTGGTGTAGAGATATCAGTATCAAAAGTCAGAATTAGGACGGAGTACAAACTACAGACAGAGGAGGGAGAAGATAACCTAATTCTTAGCAGGTACTGTCAGTGGGAGAAGTGTCTCTAGGTTCAAGGGGAGTGAATTGTTATGGGCCTTGGCCGACTCTGGAGTAGCAGCTGCTAGCACTGTGCGGTCACCAAGCAGGGGAGGGGCTGTGGCTCTGCTATAAATAGTGCTGGGAGCCAGAGTCGCTATGGAGATAAAACTGAATCCTATTACCTGCAGGTCCTCTATTGGGAGCAAGGGAAAGGAGAAAGCAGTATTTTGAGGATTTGAGAGGTATTGCAAATAGGTCTTGTTAATTATTAGGTAGGGGAGAAAAAAGAACTACTCATTACCTAAACCAAATAGGGCCTTAAGCATCCAAGGAGTGTGTATGTCTGTATATATGGGAGTGCCCGCAGCAGCAGGTAAGGGAGTAGAGTGTGTGTGTGTATGTATATATATGATAATGGGTTTCTCTCTGTGTGCATTGAACAAGGTCTTAGGCCGCATGTAGAGCACAGAGGTAGAATCCTGGAACACTAGAAATATGAGAAAAGAACTGCTACTCATAGAAGAAATAGCCCTACTAGAAATAGCTGTGCAGCGGGGTGAAACGTTTTATTTAGAGAAGTGCATAGACACTTAAAAGGAAATAAATTACAATTAAGACCATGAAAGCTTTTCCTAATTTTAGAACATAGTTTAGAAATTTCTCTGAGCACCTCTCCCTCTCCCTGTCCTTGCAGAAATCCTAGTATTTCTACCTCTGATTCATAGCCTCTGTATTGTATAGTAGGACAAGGACTCATCTGTGTGTATTGTATTACTGATTCTGAGCCTAAGATCAAAATAGAGGGGAGATTATGATTCAGCACCAAGGGCAGAGCTAGTAGCAGTGGCCTCTGGGCTCCTTTCTTGCCTGAAGCGCGGAGAAAAGTGGTGCAGAGGAAGCAATTGGGGCAATGGACATTTTCATTTGAGATCACATGAGGTAGAATAACCAGCTGTTATTGTCTGAGCATGGTTAACTAGACAGTCTATGTGGTAGTTTCACATCAAGCTGAATGCAGATTGTTGAAACAATTGCGTTTCCATCTAGACCTAGAAGTGCAGATTAGTGCTAGTTAAGGAGTCTGGTTTGATCCTGATCCACTCTGGAGGGATCCTGAGAGTGACTTCCATTTTTGTTACAATGACTGAGTCCAGATTAGACGGCCTAGGTCTGTTTTTCAGAAACAGAGCCCCAGGTGTTAAGCTGGAAATGAAGTCACTGGTAGGGATAGGTAGGTGAGCTATTATTTATCTACTATCTACTTCTTTTTTTTTCTTGAGACGGAGTCTCACTCTGTGGCCCAGGCTCGAGTGCAGTGGCGTGATCTCGGCTCACTGCAGCCTCCGCCAAAGCAATTCTCGTGCCTCAGACTCCCGAGTAACTGGGATTACAGACGTATGCCACCACCTCTGGCTATTTTTTTTGTATTTTTAGTAGAGATGGGGTTTTGCCATGTTGGCCGACTGGTCTGGAACTCCTGACCTCAGGTGATCCGCCTCAGCCTCCCAGAGTTCTGGGATTACAGGTGTGAGCCACCGTGCCCTGCCTATCTATTTTTTAACATTTTATTCTGTGAGCTCATAAACCTAGACACAAGGCTAGGCAAGTGTCAAGTTCTCCTATCATTAGTATGAAAGTGGAAGACCTTCTGACCTCTGCCCCTGGCCGGGAAGAAGCTGAGAGGGATGAGTCCCTTAGGCACAGCAGTGGATCTTATCAGTACTTTTTTTCCTATTAGACTTCGGTTTTCAGAATTCCTCCCGGGAATGCTGACTCCTTGCTTGGTGCCCTGATGCTTCTCTGAGATGAACTGATGAATTGGAACCATGGTGCAAAAGAAGAAGTTCTGTCCTCGGTTACTTGACTATCTAGTGATCGTAGGGGCCAGGTAACCAAGAAGAGATGGACTTTTGTCTTAACATCTGGGATAGCCATAAAACCTGCAGTTGTTCCCCTCTCCAGTTTCCACGTTGCTTTGCATAGCTCATTTTCCCCTGTTATTTTACCCTGCTGGGAGTGTTGAAGCCAATAGGGAAACAGCAAAGTCAGGTGGATTGAAAGCAAAACCCTGCTCTTAACTAACATCTTTGTGATGTTGAGCAAATACACTCTTTATATCTCAGTTTTCTTATTTCGTAAAAAGGAAAAGTACTTTAAAAGCTCCTCCTCTGTGTATGCTTTTTTGGTAATTTATTAGCTAATTCACTTTAAAAGATGTTAATCATCTAAAGGTGCCAATGATAATTTTATTGTCAAAATCTCTTGTTGCAGAATAGGTGCCTTCATGACAGTGCAGACTTCACTTAGGCTACCAGCTCCATATGGCAGGCAGCACCCGTATTTTCCAAGGTGTTACAGTCAGGTTACTTTATCCAAAATAGCATCTTGAGCTTTATTCATCGACAGTGGTTAAAATGTGATAGCCCATTCCATCCCTTCAGGCTGCTGAATTTGTCTTTATGTTCTTCAGGCACCCGAGCAGTGACAGCGTGGCCCAGACTCCTGAACTGCTACGACGATACCCCTTAGAGGATCACGCTGAGTTTCCCCTGCCCCCAGACGTCGTGTTCTTCTGTCAGCCCGAGGGCTGCCTGAGCGTGCGGCAGCGGCGCATGAGCCTCCGGGATGATACCTCTTTTGTCTTCACCCTCACTGACAAGGACACTGGAGTCACGCGATACGGCATCTGTGTTAACTTCTACCGCTCCTTCCAGAAGCGAATCCCTAAGGAGAAGGGGGAAGGGGGGGCAGGGTCCCATGGGAAGGAAGGAACCCGCGCCACCTGTGCCTCAGAAGAGGGTGGCACTGAGAGCTCAGAGAGTGGCTCATCCCGGCAGCCTCCCAGTGCCGACTCTACCCCTGATGTGAACCAGTCTCCTCGGGGCAAACGCCGGGCCAAGGCGGGGAGCCGCTCCCGCAACAGTACTCTCACGTCCCTGTGCGTGCTCAGTCACTACCCTTTTTTCTCCACCTTCCGAGAGTGTCTGTATACCCTCAAGCGCCTGGTGGACTGCTGTAGTGAGCGCCTGCTGGGCAAGAAGCTGGGCATCCCTCGAGGTGTACAAAGGTACGGTTTGCTGCTGCTGCCCAATGGGAGCATTTTAGAGATTCCATGTAATTGGTCTTTGAGGGGCATAGGAAATTTCCTCTGCAACTCAAGGTCCTTCAGACCTATCTAAGCATATTTAGAGTATTTAGAGTAAATATTTTTTCTTCTGGAGATGGAGTCTCGCTCTGTTCCCCAGGCTGGAATACAGTGGTGTGATCTCAGCTCACTGCAACCCCTGCCTCCTAGGTTCAAGTGATCCTTCTGCCTCAGCCTCCCGAATAGCTGAGATTACAGGTGTGTACCCCCACGCCCAGCTAATTTTGGTACTTTTAGTAGAGACAGGGTTTCACCATGTTGGCCAGGCCGGTCTCAAACTCCTGACCTCAGGTGGTCCATCCACCTTGGCCTCCGGAAGTGCTGGGATTATAAGCGTGAGCACCATGCCCAGCCAAGAGTTAATTTTTTTTTTTTTTTTTTTTTTTTTTTGAAACAGAGTCTCGCTCTGTCGCCCAGACTGGAGTGCAGTGACGGGATCTCAGCCCACTGCAAGCTCCGCTTCCTGGGTTCACGCCATTCTCCTGCCTCAGCCTCCCGAGTAGCTGGGACTACAGGCGCCCGCCAACTTGCCCAGCTAGTTTTTTGTGTTTTTTAGTAGAGACGGGTTTCACCATGCTAGCCAGGATAGTCTCGATCTCCTGACGTCGTGATCCGCCCGTCTCAGCCTCCCAAAGTGCTGGGATTACAGGCTTGAGCCACCGCACCCGGCCGAGTTAATCTTTACTAAGCAAAAGACTCTGCAGAGTTAAACCTCCTTCCAAAATTGTGTTTGGAGTAATGCTGTAATTTGATGTTTAATGGTGGTTAGGACAGTAAGTCTTATCCAGTATATATTTTTACATTTGCTCTTGCTGTTGTATATACCTTCTGGTCCTATCTGAGCTCAGAGACTGGGCTTTCCTAATGATGCTCCTTTTCCCATTGTCATCGTTAGAGCCTCTGTGGTGATACTGGGTTGCAGTGGGGTATCAGCTCCTGATGCTAATGTGTCTGGTTCCTGCTGTCTGCTTCTCAGGGACACCATGTGGCGGATCTTTACTGGATCGCTGCTGGTGGAGGAGAAGTCAAGTGCCCTTCTGCATGACCTTCGGGAGATTGAGGCCTGGATCTATCGATTGCTGCGCTCCCCAGTACCCGTCTCTGGGCAGAAGCGAGTAGACATCGAGGTCCTACCCCAAGAGCTCCAGCCAGCTCTGACCTTTGCTCTTCCAGACCCATCTCGATTCACCCTAGTGGATTTCCCACTGCACCTTCCCTTGGAACTTCTAGGTGTGGACGCCTGTCTCCAGGTGCTAACCTGCATTCTGTTAGAGCATAAGGTGAGAGGCCAGCTTCCTAGACCTTTCTAGGGGAGGAACTCTTAAATATGCCAGTGGCCAGATCATGAGCTCTTGGAGGACAGGGACTACATATTTTTCATCTTTTTGTGCTCAGGAGGTAACATGATGCCTGGTATACAGCAGGTATTCCGTAGATGTGGGTTGAATTAAGATACTGGTATCATGTGGGATGTATTCAGAGGGTTTACCATTCATTAGGGCTTATCCTTTTTTTTTTTTTTTTTTTTTTTTTTTTTTTTTTTTTTGAGGGTCTTCATCGCCATGGATGCATGGTGATCTCAGCTACTGCAGCTCCCCCCGGTTTCCCATTCTCCTGCCTCACCTCCATAGCTACCCCCCCCCTCCCCGGCTATTTTTTGTATTTTTTAGTAGAAGGTTTCATTTTAGCCAGGATGGTCTGATTCCTACTCGTATCGCTCTCGGTCAAGTCTGGATTACAGCTTGGCACCGCCCCTGGGCTTATCCTTAATTGTACTGACCTAATTTTTTGGAAATATCAGTAGTTCTGTTTCATGAGTGGTCCTGGGATGGGCAGTACAAGAACTAGGAAGGTAAGGGAGTGATTTGCATATCTCAGGTGAGGGAGGATCACCATTGTGCCTGAATTGGGAGGTGGCAGGCATGGTGGGGCAGAGGGCAGTGCGAAAGGCAAAGCTGGAGCTGTAGGCATGGTGAATTGGAAACCAAGTTGTAATGTTGGAAGCTGTTTTCTTGTAAACCTTATGTTTTGGAGTGATTCTTACTGGATGGCTCATGACAGGTGGTGCTACAGTCTCGAGACTACAATGCACTCTCCATGTCTGTGATGGCATTCGTGGCAATGATCTATCCACTGGAGTATATGTTTCCTGTCATCCCGCTGCTTCCCACCTGCATGGCATCAGCAGAGCAGGTGAGTCTCAAGGCGTCTTCCGGCTTTGTCACCTTTGTCTTCCTGAGGGAGGAGGCCTAATGCTCAAAGAAGTTGTAAGTGGGGCTGGGCGCGGTGGCTCAAGCCTGTAATCCCAGCACTTTGGGAGGCCGAGACGGGCGGATCACGAGGTCAGGAGATCGAGACCATCCTGGCTAACACGGTGAAACCCCGTCTGTACTAAAAAATACAAAAAACTAGCTGGGCGAGGTGGCGGGCGCCTGTAGTCCCAGCTACTCGGGAGGCTGAGGCAGGAGAATGGCGTAAACCCGGGAGGCGGAGCTTGCAGTGAGCTGAGATCCGGCCACTGCACTCCAGCCGGGGCGACAGAGCAAGACTCCGTCTCAAAAAAAAAAGAAAAAAAAGTTGTAAGTGAGTGCTGGTCCTCAATCTTTTGTCATAACTTATTTGTCTGCAAAATCTGACTGATTTGAACTGATCTGGTGGCAAAGCTTATGCAATTTGTAGTTTTTATTTATCACAACAAATGTTAATGACTGTAGGCTACTGGCTACACTGCCGCAGGTGTTACGTAATACAGTAATTCCTCCTTATCTGTGGAGGATATGTTCCAAGACCCCCAGTGGATGCCTCAAACCACAGATGGTTCCAAACTCTGTAGATACTTTGTTTTTTTCTATATATACATACTAATGATACAGTTTAATTTATGAATTAGGCACAGTAAGAGGTTAACAATTTCTCTTTGGGCATTTATTTGGTGTTTTTTGGAGACAGAGTCTCCGTCTGTCCCCCAGGCTAGAGTGCAGTGGCACAGTCTTGGCTCACTGGAGCCTCCGCCTCCCGGGTTCAAGTGATTCTCCTGCTTCAGCCTCCCTAGTAGCTGGGATTACAGGCACAGCCACCATGCCCAGCTAGTTTTTTGTATTTTTAGTAGAGACAAGATTTCCCCGTGTTGGCCAGGCTGGTCTTGAACTCTTGACCTCGGGTGATCCGCCTGCCTCAGCCTCCCAAAGTGCTGGGATTACAGACATGAGCCACCGCGCCTGACCTCTTTGGACATATATTTGGCTTCTCTTTGGCATATCCCAATCGCCAGCATCAGTACGCTTGTGCTTTGGGGCCATTATTAAGTAAAATAAAGGTTACTTGAACACAAACACTGAGATTGTGCGACAGTTGACCTGATAACTGAGATGGCTACAGGTGAGTAGTGTATACAGCATGGATATGCTGGACAAAGGGATGATTCATGTCTGGGTGGGACAGAGCGGGACAGCATGAGATTTCATCATGCTTCTCAGAACTATTGTCCTGGACTTCAGATATGATCAAGCTGCAATTTAAAATTTATGAATTGTTTATTTCTGGAATTTTCCTTTTAATATTTCAGACTGCAGTTTACCTCAGGTAACTGGAATCACAGAAAGTGAAACTCTGGATAAGGAATACTACCGTATACAAAAAAATGTACTATGTAACCTTTCAAAAAATCTGAAAAATTCTGAATTTTCAAATACATCTGGCCTCAAGGGTTTTGGAAGAGGGATTGTTTCTGCATTTCCTTATCTAGAAGAATCCGGACTTGATAAGTGCTCGTGATAGGTTTTGTCTTTGTTTCTTACCTTCTTTATCGTTTCCACAGCTGCTGTTGGCTCCAACTCCGTACATCATTGGGGTTCCTGCCAGCTTCTTCCTCTACAAACTGGACTTCAAAATGCCTGATGATGTATGGCTAGTGGATCTGGACAGCAACAGGGTGAGGTTCTTCGCTGAGGCATTGTAGCGTCTGGAGGAGGATTGCATTCTAGACCCAGTCCTGGGATATGTGTTTTTCTAGATTCCTTTCAGGAACGTTCTAAGTTGTTGGATAATTTCTATTGTGAGACTTATTGAAAAATTTTTTTAAATGCTCCTTTTACCTTATTGGCCAAATAAGCCCTTGGTTAGGTCTCAGAGAATTTTAGGATTTATTTTTGCCAGAATTAAGTGGTGCCTCCACCATATCCTCCAAGAGCAGTCAGACAGTTGTGATCCGAAGACCATTACATGTGGTATAGATCATCTCTTAATGGTTTCCCTGGAGTATAGTTTCCAGTAAGAAACTGTCTTTCAATGCAGGCTTAATGAATTATTTGACCATTCTGCAATGTGAGTATATTCAAACTTTGGTGGGAAGCCCTTATGTGTGTTCATTGTAAAACTTTAAAAAAATAAAAATGTCTGGGCGCGGTGGCTCACGCCTGTAATCCCAGCACTTTGGGAGGCCGAGGCGGGCGAATCACAAGGTCAGGAGATCGAGACCACGGTGAAACCCCGTCTCTACTAAAAATACAAAAAATTAGCCGGGCGCGGTTGTGGGCGCCTGTAGTCCCAGCTACTCGGGAGGCTGAGGCAGGAGAATGGCGTGAACCCGGGAGGCGGAGCTTGCAGTGAGCCGAGATCGTGCCACTGCACTCCAGCCTGGGCGACAGAGCAAGACTCTGTCTCAAAAAAAAAATAAATAAAAAATAAAATAAAATAAAAATAAGCGTAAATGAAGTAAGTGAAAAGCAAAACCGTAATCTTTTTATTTAGCGATAATAACCAATAGCATTAAGGTATATTTCCTTTCAGATGTATATGTATGTCATGTGTGTGTACATATCTTATTGTGTAGTTACATAACGTGTGTTCGTTTATATAATAATACTGTATATACATCCTCTTATTTTTATTTACCCTGTGTAAGAGAAATTCCTTAGCAATAAACTCTAAGGTCACGTCTTTTATCATTTCTCTGGTGCAGGTGATTGCCCCCACCAATGCAGAAGTGCTGCCTATTCTGCCAGAACCAGAGTCACTAGAGCTGAAAAAGCATTTAAAGCAGGTACGTGAAGAGTGAAGGAAAGAGAGGGGAGTAATAGATGCTGTGGGGTTCCTATAGGAAGACAGCTGTTCTCAGAGCCAGTTTCCTATCAAACTTCAAATGGAGTAGTTTTCTTCACCCTGGATGGGCTTAAGAAAAGGGATATCCCATTTCTGGGTGGCAGAGTGAATCTCAGTGGTTTTGATTCCAACTCATTTTATGCCTTACTATATTCTAATGCTTATTATACTGTATAAAATAGCCCTTCACTGTCTGTTTCTTGTATGTGTGCCACTCTCTATGGCCTCAGAACATTTTCGGGGTCTTTTTTTTTTTTTTTTTTTGAGACAGAGTCTTGCTCTGTCGCCCAGGCTGGAGTGCAGTGGTGCAATCTCAGTGCGCTGCAAGCTCCGTCTCCCGGGTTCATGCGGTTCTCCTGCCTCAGCCTCCCCAGCAGCTGGGACTACAGGTGCACGCCACCACGCCCAGCTAATTTTTTTGTATTTTTAGTAGAGATGGGGTTTCACCGTGTTAGCCAGGATGGTCTCAATCTCCTGACCTCATGATCCACCCGCTTCATCTTCCCAAAGTGCTGGGATTACAGGCATGAGCCACCATGCCCTGCCGATTTTCTCAGTCTTGTTAGGTGGAAGTTAGTAGTGTGGACCATCTGGCTGCTTTTGTATCATCTTCTAGAGTTGATCCTGAGGTTCCTTTCTTCAAAAATTCCTTTCTTTGGCCAGGCATGTTGCCTCATGCCTATAATCCCAGCACTTAAGGAGGCCGAGGTGGATGGATCACAAGGTCAGGAGTTTGAGACCAGCCTGGCCAATATGGTAAAACTCCATCTCTATTAAAAATGCAAAAATTAGCCAGGCGTGGTGGCGGACGCCTGTAGTCCAGCTGCTCGGGAGGCTGAGGCAGGAGAATCACTTGAACCTAGGAGGCAGAGGTTGCAGTGAGCCAAGATCGTGCCACTGCACTCCTGCCTGGGCCACAGAGTGAGACTATCTCAAACAAACAAATTCCTTTCTTTGAGTAATTCCTCACATCCATTTTTTATTGATTTATTTTCTTCCTCTGCATGCTGAACACAGTACCTGAAGGTAACACATGACAAAGCTTGATTCCCTTCCCCTGCCTTATGTCTTGTGTAGAAACACCAGTAGATAGCACTGTGTTTATTTTTAGGACTCCCTGCTCTCATTTGAAGGGCCTTTAGAAACCTTTTTCTGTGTTGTCTAAAGTACTTAGTAGTACCTCTAGATGCTATGTTTGGGTTTAAATGGGTCATTTTGTATCATCCCTCTCACCTCAGTTGCTTCATCACTGCTGATATAATGTGATACCTTGTTACTGCAGAGTCTAGTGGGAATTTTAAGTCCTGACCCCGTGATCTGCCCTTCTCGGCCTCCCAAAGTACTGGGATTACAGACATGAGCCACCGCGCCCCGCCAAGAATTATATTTTAAATATTTGAAGGAGCTAAGATCCTTGGACTCACTGATCCTGTGTTCTAACTCCTGCTATTCAAAGTGTGGTTTATGGACCAGCAACATTAGCATCACTTGGGCTTATTAAAGTGAAGGATCACTCCAGGCATATTGAATCGGGATCTGCGTTTTGACAACCTCCGCCAGTGATTTCTCTCCTCACTCACATTTGAGAAGCACTGCTGCTCTCGACCAGTGGTCTTCACCCTGCCCCATTGAGCCTCTGAGGGGCCGATTTAGCTTGGGATCCCTGAGCATGTGAGGCTTTGCTTCCTGTGTCCTTCAGAGCAGCTATGTTTTCAAATTTCCATTCTGTATAGTTTCACATGGATTCCAATTTTAAAAAACATTTAATGACTATAATAATTTTGCAAACAACTGTCCTGGACTTCAGATAAGATCAAGTTGCCTTAAGCTAGGTTGTCTTAAGATGGAGAGCTGGCCGGGCGCGGTGGCTCAAGCCTGTAATCCCAGCACTTTGGGAGGCCGAGACGGGCGGATCATGAGGTCAGGAGATTGAGACTATCCTGGCTAATACGGTGAAACCCCGTCTCTACTAAAAAATACAAAAAACTAGCCGGGCGAGGTGGTGGGCGCCTGTAGTCCCAGCTACTCGGGAGGCTGAGGCAGGAGAATGGCGTAAAAACCCGGGAGGCGGAGCTTGCAATGAGTTGAGATCCGGCCACTGCACTCCAGCCTGGGCGACACAGCAAGACTCCGTCTCAAAAAAAAAAAAAAAAAAAAAAGATGGAGAGCTATATATTTCAGACTGTTTTCTTTCTTTTTTTTTTTTTTTTTTTTTGAGACGGAGTCTTGCTGTGTCGCCCAGGCTGGAGTGCAGTGGCCGGATCTCAGCTCACTGCAAGCTCCGCCTCCCGGGTTTTTACGCCATTCTCCTGCCTCAGCCTCCCGAGTAGCTGGGACTACAGGCGCCCACCACCTCGCCCGGCTAGTTTTTTGTATTTTTTAGTAGAGACGGGGTTTCACCGTGTTAGCCAGGATGGTCTCGAACTCCTGACGTCGTGATCCGCCCGTCTCGGCCTCCCAAAGTGCTGGGATTACAGGCTTGAGCCACCGCACCCGGCCTTTCAGACTGTTTTCTAAAGGCTAGAGTATTGGGATTTTTGTTTCAAAGATGAAAGGTCTGAAATGGGTTGACCATGATTTGCAAATTAGCACTGTTCTTTGTTGCAGAACTTTTTGACCAGAGAATACGAGGTAGAAGACTTTAGGAAGGCTCTTTCCTTGGAGTTGAAAGCTTCTTGCTGCCTAGCTGGCCCAGGGAGTTGTATTTAACTTGGTCATTACTTGGCTACTGAGCTGCGCCCAGGAACGTGCCTTGTATAAGGAATTTTCTTGTTGTTCCACAGGCCTTGGCCAGCATGAGCCTCAACACCCAGCCCATCCTCAATCTGGAGAAATTTCATGAGGGCCAGGAGATACCCCTTCTCTTGGGAAGGCCTTCTAATGACCTGCAGTCCACACCGTCCACTGAATTCAACCCGCTTATCTATGGCAACGATGTGGATTCTGTGGATGTTGCAACCAGGTAAGACCAAGCCGATTATGTAATCAGAAGTTCTTAAATTGATCTCTTTGCTCTCTAAGTGACCTTAGGGCCGACTATTTCCCTGAACCAGGGTTTCTGTTTTTTTTGAGATGGAGTCTCACTCTTGTTGGAGTACAATGGCATAATCTCAGCTCACTGCAACTTCCACCTCCCGGGTTCAAGTGATTCTCCTGCCTCAGCTTCCTAAGTGACTGGGATTACAGGCACCTGCCACCACGCCTGGCTAATTTTTATATTTCTAGTAGAGACAGTGTTTCACCATGTTGGCCGGGCTGGTCTCGAACTCCTGACCTCAGGTGATCCGCCCACCTCGGCCTCCCAAAGTGCTGGGATTACAGTCGTGTGCCACTGCACCCAGCCCAGGGTTTCTTTATATATAAAATATGTGCCATATTTGGTTGTGATTTTCCACCTTGGTAAAAGCAAAGTGAAGAAATAGTAAACCACGTGCTCAGGATGAATAGGGGGCTGATGATTCTTTTAAGGTATCTCTCCCTGGCCGGGCGTGGTGGCTCACACCTGTAATCCCAGCACTTTGGGAGGCTGAGGTTGGCGGATCGCGAGGTCAGGTGATTGAGACCATCCTGGCTACCACAGTGAAACCCCGTCTCTACTAAAAATACAAAAAAAATTAGCTGGGCATGGTGGCGGGTGCCTGTAGTCCCAGCTACTCGGGAGACTGAGGCAGGAGAATGGTGTGAACCCAAGAGGCGGAGCTTGCATTGAGCCAAGATTGTGCCACTGCACTCCAGCCTGAGCAACAGGGCTAGACTCTGTCTCAAAAAAAAAAAAGGTGTCTCTCCCCTTGGAAGCCTGTTAAGTGATGGCTTTGGGAGGTGTTCTGAGACTTTGGATCATGGGAATCCTTACCCTACAGGGCATGGGTCTCAAATTATCTCATCATCTCCTTCCCCAGGGTCGCCATGGTACGGTTCTTCAACTCTGCCAACGTGCTGCAGGGATTTCAGATGCACACACGTACCCTGCGCCTCTTCCCTCGGCCTGTGGTAGCTTTTCAAGCTGGCTCCTTTCTAGCCTCACGTCCCCGCCAGACTCCTTTTGCCGAGAAATTGGCCAGGACTCAAGCTGTGGAGTACTTTGGGGAATGGATCCTTAACCCCACCAACTATGCCTTTCAGCGAATTCACAACAGTGAGTCCACCTGCCCTCTGCTCCGCTCTGCCTTCTGCCTCTGTCCTCTTGATGGACTTTGATTTTCCCTTTGCTCATCTTTGACCTGTGCCTTCTGTCCTTGCTCTGCTTTAGACTTTTTCCTGCCCTTCTTTCAGGCATTGCTTGCCTTTTTTTCCTTGCTGCTGACTTTCTATTCTTTTCCCTCATGGGGTAGATATGTTTGATCCAGCCCTGATTGGTGACAAGCCGAAGTGGTATGCTCATCAGCTGCAGCCTATCCACTATCGCGTCTATGACAGCAATTCCCAGCTGGCTGAGGCCCTGAGTGTACCACCAGAGCGGGACTCTGACTCCGAACCTACTGATGATAGGTGAGCATCCTTAGGGTAGCAAAAAGGTTTTTAAGGTGAAGAGGCTCTCACTAGCCCTTCTTTAGCACAGAAGAGGCAATCTCATAGGCTTCCCATATCAGTATTTTTTTTTTAATTTTATTTCTTTATTTTTTTTCATGTGTGACAGAGTCTTGCCGCTCTGTCACCTAGGCTGGAGTGCAGTGGTGCCGTCTCAGCTCACTGCAACCTCCGCCTCCCAGGTTCAAGTGATTCTCCTGCCTCCGCCTCCCAAGTAGCTGGGACTACCTGGCTAATTTTTATATATATATATTTTTTGAGATGGAGTCTCGCTGTGTCTTCCAGGCTAAAGTGCAGTGGCATGATCTTGGCTCACTGCAAGCTCCCTCTTGGGTTCAAGCGATTCTCTTGCCCCAGCCACCTGAATAGCTGGGATTACAGGCACATGCTATCACGCCAAGCTAATTTTTTGTATTTTTAGTAAAGACAGAGTTTCACTATGTTAGCCAGGCTGGTTTCAAACTCATGCCCTCAAGTGATTCACCTACCTCGGCCTCCCAAAGTGCTAGGATTACAGGCGCGAGCCACTGCGCCCGGCTACTTTTTGTATTTTTAGTAGAGATGGTATTTCACCATGTTGGCCAGGCTGGTCTCAAACTCCAGACCTCAGGTGATCAATCCGCCTTAGCCTCCCAGAGTGCTGGGATTACAGGCGTGAGCCACTGTCCCAGCCCCCATTATCAGTCTTTATGCTTTGGTTGACTGTTTTTCTTGGTTTCCTTATTTGATTTGTACCCTGGCCTTGCGTTCAGAGTGCTCCCCCTTTTATTTTTCCTAGTGCTGATTGCAGGTGTTCTCCCTGCCCCTTTCTGTTTTGTTTTTTATGCAATTCACTCTGCAGTGGCAGTGATAGTATGGATTATGACGATTCAAGCTCTTCTTACTCCTCCCTTGGTGACTTTGTCAGTGAAATGATGAAATGTGACATTAATGGTGATACTCCCAGTAAGTGTGCTTGGGGAGATTGGCCAGCCCTGGGCAGGGGTTGGGGGTCTAGGGATGGGGTGGTCTCTACCTGCCTCCCTTGGATTTTGGCAGATGTGGACCCTCTGACGCATGCAGCACTGGGGGATGCCAGCGAGGTGGAGATTGACGAGCTGCAGAATCAGAAGGAAGCAGAAGAGCCTGGCCTAGACAGTGAGAACTCTCAGGAAAACCCCCCACTGCGCTCCAGCTCCAGCACCACTGCCAGCAGCAGCCCCAGCACCATCATCCACGGAGCCAACTCTGTAAGTGAGGAGTGGTGGATGAGTGAGAACCATGGCCTGGGATGTGGGCCTCATCTATTAGGAAAGCCAGGCTGTAGCTATTCATTTGCTGCTTCTCACACAATTTTCTCATCTTCCTCTTCATGGGCCCTAGAGCTTAGAGCCTAAGAGACCTAGTTTTGACCCCAAAAGGAGTTCATCAGGCTTTGTTCAGGGTACAACTGTGATCCCCCTTATATAGTTTGTGGGGACAGAGAACAGGTGCCACAGAGATCATTTCCCACACATTCCTTAGGCTAGAAATCTGACAGGCCTGGTCCAGCACTGCCAAACTGGGATTACAGGAAGGTACCATTGGGCACCAGCTAACCACTTTCAATTTCATGTGGCCTTCAGGAACCCGCTGACTCTACGGAGATGGATGATAAGGCAGCAGTAGGCGTCTCCAAGCCCCTCCCTTCCGTGCCTCCCAGCATTGGCAAGTCGAACGTGGACAGACGTCAGGCAGAAATTGGAGAGGGGTCAGTGCGCCGACGAATCTATGACAATCCATACTTCGAGCCCCAATATGGCTTTCCCCCTGAGGAAGATGAGGATGAGCAGGGGGAAAGTTACACTCCCCGATTCAGCCAACATGTCAGTGGCAATCGGTGAGAGCCTGGGGATCCCTTCTAGATGGGTGACTGAAGGACCTCACCTCAGTGGACCCTGGTCGAGGGTTAATCAGAAAGTCTAAGTCTGAATGCTCTCGTGGTCCTGCCATCCCCAGAGGGTGGTGTTTTGATCCAGGGGTTTAGGAATTACAGGAAGGGAGCAGCAGCTGCAGTGTAGCGTAAGGCTCATACTCCCAAGGTCAAGTACCCCTGCCTGGGGCTCATAGGTGCCACTGTGCATTCAAGGGCTCAAAAGCTGCTGCGGCCCAACAGCTTGAGACTGGCAAGTGACTCAGATGCAGAGTCAGACTCTCGGGCAAGCTCTCCCAACTCCACCGTCTCCAACACCAGCACCGAGGGCTTCGGGGGCATCATGTCTTTTGCCAGTAAGTGCCTTCAGCTGTCTCTCTCATTCCTGTGTTCCATTTTTCTCTACAGCAGAGCCTGACTATCGCAAATGTTGTTTAGAACTTCACATGTCGGGCTAGGTTAGCATTAGCAAGCTCTAATTCAGTCATTTGGGTGATACTGAATAAGGTGTTTTCAAGTGAGGGCAGTAAAGGACAGGGACAGATTAGTCATTATTATGCCTGGTCGTTTCAGTCTATTTCAGGTAAGAGCTGGATGGGTAACTGGAAAACAGGCAGTAAATTCAGAATCACACACTTGTACTTATATTTAATGGAAATACTCTGGTCAAATTTGATTTGAGTCTATATCTGGTATCTTCTTTGCCTCATAACGGACTCTTCCATGAATGTGCTTTGAAATCGATACGAGATTGAATTTTGTGCTTAGAGAGTATTTCCAGCAGTGTGGGGTGGTATCAGTTAAAGATTGAAGACAGACTATGGACTAGAGAGAGCCAACATCGAGGATCCCTGTTATCGTGAGTTTCTTCAGCAGCCAGGGAGGGACAGTGCCAGCTTCAGACCAGAAGCCCGTTAACTGCCAGCTTTCATGCTGTGCAGCAGTAGATGAGAGACTCGGATATTATCATGTGAGGTGGACAGAGAAAGCTGTTACTGGGTTTTGGCTGCTCCTGGCAGTGGCTCCATTGTTTGCCTGGAGTTAGACTTGATCCTTTCTAAGACAGATCAGAGATGATCTGATCCATCAAACTGGGACCGTGTTTGGAAAGGAGGGAGGTGCAGATGCTGATAGTCATTAGTCTAATGCTTTGATTACTTACTCTGCCAAGTCATCACTCTCGCACCCTCCCCTTGATAGGCAGCCTCTATCGGAACCACAGTACCAGCTTCAGTCTTTCAAACCTCACACTGCCCACCAAAGGTGTCCGAGAGAAGGCCACACCCTTCCCCAGTCTGAAAGGTAACTACAGCCTTCCTTTTGCCAAGCCAGGTTTCTCCGGGAGATATTTCAGGCTGTGGGTTCATGTCAGGAGCCCTGCGTCTGGTGAATCCTTTGACCTGGTTGTCATCCCTCATGTTGCTCCTCATGGCTTTCACTGCACATCTTGGGCTCCGATGGTTGTCAAATGGAAACCATCTTCGTAGCTAGAGAGGGCCCTGTTATGTCATTTAGGACAATGGCAGCTGTGGGATTACTGCTGCTTCTCGGGAGGACCCTGTCAGGGTACGTGATTAACATAGGGATCATCAGCCGCCTCCAGTCGTCTGCTGGGTTGCCACTGCATGAACTTAGGACAAACTCCATGCCAAGGAGCTGGCCTACCAGAGAATGGTTATGGAGAGCCTGGCAGCATTTATAGAGCACAGCCTCTCACCTCTCACGCACTCATAAGCCTGTCAACCCAGGGCTTGTGAGCGCGCCAGGTAGTATTTGTTAGTTTCTAGGGGCAGTTAAGACCTTATTTGAAAGCCAGGCGCAGTGGCTTACACCTGTAATCCCAGCACTTGCACTTTGGGAGGCCAAGGCAGGTGGATCACGATGTCAGGAGATCAAGACCATCCTGGCTAACATGGGGAAACCCCGTCTCTACTGAAAACAAAAAAAAATTAGCCAGGTGTGGTGGCGGGCGCCTGTAGTCCCAGCTACTTGGGAGGCTGAGGCAGGAGAATGGCGTGAACCTGGGAGGCGGGCTGAGTAGCTACTCGAGCTGGGCAGGAGAATGGCGTAACCGGGAGCGGAGCTTGCAGTGAGCTGAGATCCGGCCCTGCCCTCCAGCCTGGGCGACAGAGCAAGACTCTATCTTAAAAAAAAAGTAAAAAGACCTTATTTGAATTTGGCTTGTGCCATCTGATAGTTTCAGGGGCTTTTCTGAGTTTGATTTTTTTTTTTTTTTTTTCCTGAGACAGAGTGTCACATCCCAGGCTGGATAGAGTGCAGGGTGGCGATCTTGGCTCACTGTAACTGCTGCCATCCAGGCTCAAGTGATTCACATGCTTCAGCCTCCCATATAGCTGGAATTACAGGCACACGTCACCTCGCCCAGCTAATTTTTGTATTTTTAGTAGAGATGGGGTTTCACCATGTTGGCCAGGCTGGTCTTGAACTCTTAACCTTGAGTGATCTGCCCACCTCGGCCTCCCAAAGTGCCAGGATTACAGGTGTGAGCCACCGCACCTGGCCTGATTTTTTTGTTTTCTCTGGATGGTGTGCCGAAATATTTAACTGTGGTAGGAAGCGCAGTGAGAAGCAACCTCATGTATTCTATTTTTTTTTTTTTTGAGACGGAGTCTTGCTGTGTTGCCCAGGCTGGAGTGTAGTGGCGCAATCTCGGCTCATTGCAAGCTGTGCCTCCTGGGTTCACGCCATTCTCCTGCCTCAGCCTCCCGAGTAGCTGGGACTTCAGGCGCCTGCCACCACGCCCAGCTAATTTTATGTATTTTTAGTAAAGACAAGGTTTCACTGTGTTAGCCAGGATGGTCTCAATCTCCTGACCTCGTGATCTACCCGCCTCGGCCTCCCAAAGTGCTGGGATTACAGGCGTGAGCCACCGCGCCCGGCCAACCTCATGTATTCTTTAACTGATCTCTCATTCCTATTGGTAAAAAACGTCAGGTTACTTGGGTGCAGTAGCTCACACCTGTCATCCTAGCTACTTGGTAGGCTGAGGAAGGAGGTTCACTTGAGCCCAGGAGTTTGAGGTACAGTGAGCTATAATTAGGCCAGTGTACTCCAGCCTGGACGACAGAGTGAAACCCTGTCTCTAAAAGAAACCAACAGAAACAAGCAAATAACATTGTCAGGAGTCTAAGGCATGTTCTTAGGTGGTGATGGGAACATTGGATAAATGGGCAAAGGGACATCAGAGCTGGTAGTGTAAGGAGCGAACTAGCACTGCCAGGGAATCCACATGTGGCCGGGTAGGCTAGGGATGGAAGGGTGTCAGTGACACTGGCCTTCATTTGGTACATTTGAAGAGGAGAGCAATTGAAACTCTTTCATTGCATGCTGATGCATTGTCGCATTTGCTGCACTTACCCTCTCACCCACCTCCCATCCTCATGCCCTGACCCCCACTCCCAACAATAGCATCTGCAAGATGGGTCGCTTCCCTGCACATGCCCTCAGGCCCCTGACCCCCTGTGCTGGATGTTTTCTGAAAACCAGCGGTCCCTCTTTCATGCATGTGTGTGTGCAGTACCTGAAGCCTCCCTGTGTCATTTACCCGCCCCTGGCTTTGAGAGGCCACGTCTTAAGGATGGTCTTTTCTTAGAGCCTTGGTTGTCTCCTGGTCACTTGGCTTCCAGCTCTGAGGTGCCCGAGAACCAAAGTTATGTGCATTCCTCAAGCTTTGGGAGAATGCTCAGATTATCTGGCTTACTGCTCCTCGGAGGGGTAGAGGGGTTGCGGTATTGTGGTGCACCTACTAATTGTGTATTTTGTGTCCCAGTATTTGGGCTAAATACTCTAATGGAGATTGTTACTGAAGCCGGCCCCGGGAGTGGTGAAGGTGGGTCTTGCCTGTGAGCTGTGCATGATCTTTTTTTTTTTTCTCTAGCATCTTCTGTGCCTGCCCGAGGGCCATCCTTCTCATGGAGCTAGCAGCATCACATGAGTGACCTGCTTGCCCCGTTCCCCGTGACGCCCATGCTTGCCCATGGGGCGTGCTGCTGGTGCATGTGGAGTGGCCTGAGTCTCCATCCCCACCTCCTCCACATTGCCATGGCTGGTTTCTACCTACGTATGATGCCTTGGTGCTACCCTCACCCAGCCCTTCTGAGGAACGGGCGTGGAACATGGCTACTCAGGGCTGTGCTGGCATGAGCTCCTGCACTATAATAGTGATGTCTCTCATTCCTGCCTCCCCTGCCACAGGAAACAGGAGGGCGTTAGTGGATCAGAAGTCATCTGTCATTAAACACAGCCCAACAGTGAAAAGAGAACCTCCATCACCCCAGGGTCGATCCAGCAATTCTAGGTAATAAATGGTAGAGCTGTTTTAAAAGTTCTCAGGTAGAGGTGGGGTGGTTCCTCTGCAGAACTTTAGGGATAGAGTGGGAGAGAAGCTCTCAATGGGGTAGATGTAATCAATTTCTTGCCAGCACTTCTCATTCTGGCTTGATCTCCATGCAATTGAAAGCTTACAGTGTTGAGCGGAGTGAATCAGCAGTGGTGGGTATTTGGGCAAATCAGGTTCTCCGGAGAGTTGGGGGATGTCGGTGGACTTGGACATTCAGAGATGTGGCTTTGTGTTTTACCCCTGGAGGCAGGCATCTAGTCTGGGTGAAAGGTGGGGGGTGCTCTGCAAAGGAGCTGGTGACCACAGAAGCGGTGTGTGGACCCTGTAGTGAGAACCAGCAGTTCCTGAAGGAGGTGGTACACAACGTGCTGGACGGCCAGGGAGTCGGCTGGCTCAACATGAAAAAGGTGCGCCGGCTCCTGGAGAGCGAGCAACTGCGAGTCTTTGTCCTGAGCAAGCTGAACCGTACGGTGCAGTCAGAGGACGATGCCCGGCAGGACATTATCCCGGATGTGGTCAGTGTTGGGGGTAGGGAGTCAGAGTAACTGGGGAGAGGGATGTGAATACCAAAGGCAATTTGCCAACGCTAGCCCCTGGGTTATTGTTGCAGGAGGTCAGTCGGAAGGTGTACAAGGGAATGTTAGACCTCCTCAAGTGTACAATCCTCAGCCTGGAGCAGTCCTATGCCCATGCGGGTCTGGGTGGCATGGCCAGCATCTTTGGGCTTCTGGAGATCGCCCAGACCCACTACTATAGTAAAGGTAGGGATTGTATCTGCTGGGCACCATGCCATCCCCAACTCTCCCACTTGTCTCCCAAAGAGAAAATGTATTTGTCCCCAGGACAGATTTCCAGTACCATGCTGCTTCCCATCTGGCTTTGGGGTTTTATTTTCTATGCATGTTTATACGTAGTGAGTGTTTTTTGTTATGAAAAATAAGACATCAGCTCATCTTTCCCTGAACTCCTTCATTCCACACCCTTCTGTATCCTGGCTCCTCCCACCTCATGTCTGCACCTTGATTCCTACTCATTACTTCTCTTGACCTCTTGATTTTTTTCTCTCAGAACCAGACAAGCGGAAGAGAAGTCCAACAGAAAGTGTAAATACCCCAGTTGGCAAGGATCCTGGCCTAGCTGGGCGGGGGGACCCAAAGGCTATGGCACAGCTGAGAGTTCCCCAGGTGGGACCTCGGGCACCAAGTGCCACAGGAAAGGGTCCTAAGGAACTGGACACCAGAAGTTTAAAGGAAGAAAATTTTATAGCGTCTATTGGTACGTATCAGTGTGTTTGGTGCGGTAGAGGGGTCCTGGCTTCTTAAATATCCCTTTCTCCTCAATTCATCCAGAATCCTGCCTTTCTCTGCCCCATGCTTTGCTTCCTAGAGAGAGAAGGAGACCTGTGTCCATTTCTAGTGGTGTTTCTTTGTACTTCTCTAGTCTTTATATTTCATCCGCAGCCACCCCTCACCCTGTATCTTAGAGGAAGAATGGAGTTTTTGTTTAGAGGGCCCAGTAAGGCTTACTGCAGGTGGTGTGAGCTGTACTCCTGGCCGCTCTTTTTATTTACATCTGCATTTCTTCACATAGTGGAGAGAATTCCTGGAAGTGCTCAGGAAGTTTATAGATGCATCTTTGGGCTATACAAACGACATTTGTGTCTCTGAAGCCAGTGTCCTCCCATCCAGCCATTACACTGCTCTGGAATGTGCACCTCTGGGCCATGTCTGGCAACCCCATTTCCCTGGGTTCTGGATCTTTGAGGTATAGGTTTCCAAGTCAGTTCTTTAAATGCTTCCTCATGGACTTGATTAAAATCTTGTTTACATTTGGTGTTTCTCCATTCCCACAAAGGCAGTGCCTTAGTGAGCTTTCTGGGCATCACCTCTGTTTGGCTCACTCCCTGCTTGACCTTGAGTCATCGAGGTTGGATCTTTCTTTTTCTGGTTCTAGGTCCCTAGGCACTCTGCTTCCAGCTGATGTTTCATTGCCATGGCCATTAGCAGTTGCCATGTGCTCCCATAAATGGTGATGTGGAACTGATTCCTTTTTAGGGGAGCTACACTTTCCTAGCCAGCAGAATATTATTCTAGTAGCAGTCAACTCCTGGCTTTCTCCTGCCTCATATGATGTTCTAGAAAAAGTACTGACCTGCTAGTATGGAGGTCTGGAGTTTTAGTCCCATATCAGCCTCCAGCTAGGAATGCAATGGGCAAATAACTTCCCCTCTCAGGGTCTCTGTCTCTTCACCTGGGAAATGAGGAAATCATACGGAAATAAGGAAATCATACTAAGTACACTCTGAAGTTCCTTCGAGGAAAATAATTGCTGTGGTTGCCATTCTGTTTTCCTCTATGAGGATGCTGGTCCTGACCATTTTATGTTCTCTGTCACCTCAGCTGGAAGCATTTTTCCAGATTGCTGGTTGGTAGTGCAGGCACTGGCTCTGGGGGTGAGTGGTTTCTTGAGGAGCAATGAGGAGGGGTGCTAACTGCCTGCATGAATTGGCCTCTGTCCAGTCCAGTGAATCAAACAGATTGGTGTTCATGCTTCTGAAACTCTGGCCGCTTGAGGTGTTCGTCTGTCTCATCTGGAATCTGTAAAAATTGTCCTTCCCCAGCTCATTTGGCAGAGAGAGTGTGGCATGGTGGGAGTTTAAATGGATCCTAAGTTACATGATCTTGATCAAGTGCTCCAGCCTCTTTAGGACCAGTTTCCTCATGCAAAAATGAAGGAGCTTTGTTAAGGGCCCTTCCAGCTCTAACATTCTGCAGGGTTTTTACTGCCACATTGGGATTGGAATTGGAAATTTGGAATCTGTTCATGAGTTTGGGTGGAGGGGTTAGATGTCTTGTTTTCTGCCCTTTCTCCCCATGAAGATATCTTTGTATCTCTTGGTTGGTAATCCAGTGCCTGAGACTGAATCGACTTGGGTGGGTGGGTTTCCATTTCATCTGTCTGACCAGCCTCTGACTCTCTGTCTTTCTCTCCTGCTTGCATTGCATCTGGGGTAGAATTGTGGAACAAGCACCAGGAAGTGAAAAAGCAAAAAGCTTTGGAAAAACAGAGTAAGGAACAAATGCCCTTTCCTGTTCCCAAGTCTCCCATACCTGCCAACTCCCCAGGCCCAGTTGGGGCAGGCTCCCTTTGTCAGCCCCACCCCAAATTTGCTCTTAGAGGGTGTTTGGAATGGCAGCAGGTAGGTAGCATGTGACTCCTAGGCGTGTGGCACGTAGGCTGCTTCTTTCCTCCTCCCCTCGTGTCAATCAGGTTATAACCAGGTGTCTACTGAATACAACTCCCCAGAACTTGGTTCTCTGTTGCTTCAGAGTTGGTGGGGAGAACGTTTGCCTATTTTAGTGCCCCCCATTGGCTGATATCTCCCTCACCTGTTAGAAGGCCTGTGGGCACAGTTGGCAGAGATGGTTGCTGTCCCTCCGTGTTGAGTCTGTAGCTGCCCAACTCTCTGGTGGCTTGCCTAGGCACGCTTTCTTGCTTTCTGTCATTCTGTCCTTCTGCCATACCATTGTGGGTGGGTGGGGGACAAGGGGGGTGGTTTTTATCTCAAACGTAGATGGAGGTAGGTAGTGCCCACCAAAACAGCTGGTGTTTCTTATCTCATCGGGCCCAACCTTTTCTACTTCCTTTAGACACATTTGTTTGGGAAGCATTAAGTGACCTGGGGACCATAAAATGGTTTCAGGTACCAGCAAAGCTCAGACTCTGAGTGCCATGGAATGTGGTTTAGACATTTGTTTGTGGAACTTTTCTTTTTCTTTTTTTTTTTTGAAATGGAGTCTTGCTCTGTTGCCCAGGCTGGAGTGCAGTGGTACGATCTTGGCTCACTGCAACTTCTGCCTCCAGGGCTCAAGCGATTCTCGTGCTTCAACCTCTCGAGTAGCTGGGATTACAGGCATGCACCACCACGCCTGGCTAATTTTTGTATTTTTTGGTAGAGACAGGGTTTCATCATGTTGGCCAAGCTGGTCTCAAACTTCTGACTTCAGGTGATCCACCTGCCTCAGCCTCCCAAAGTGATGGGATTACAGGCGTGAGCCACCATGCCCAGCCTTGTGGAGCTTTTTTGTTTTAAGATGATTTGCTCATAATTTTCTCAGGTTGAGAAGATGACTGGAGAACCCGTTGGGACCAGGTCTGATTTGTCTTACTTGGTTCTTAAGGCATCTGGGGACCTCTTTTTCCAGTGGGTCCTGAGTTGGGAGTAGTCCTTGGAAAGGTGACTGGGATGGGCTGAACAGGTCTGGGACCAGCCTGTGCTGCTGTCCCTCCCCCTTTACCAGCCTGCCCCTAGCCTTTGTGCACGGAGTAACAGAAGTCTTCCCCTACTCAGGGCCTGAAGTAATCAAACCTGTCTTTGACCTTGGTGAGACAGAGGAGAAAAAGTCCCAGATCAGCGCAGACAGTGGTGTGAGCCTGACGTCTAGTTCCCAGGTTTGTGACAACCTTGTTGAAAATTACGAGGATTAAATATGCTGTCTCAGAATACTTCAAGTTAAAAAAAAAACAAAACAGCCAGACGGCCGGGCACAGTGGCTCACGCCTATAATCCCAGAACTTTGGGAGGCCGAGGCGGGCGGATCACCTGAGGTTGGGAGTTCGAGACCAGCCTGACCAACATTATGAAACCCCGTCTCTATGAAAAATACAAAATTAGCCAGGCGTGGTGGCGTATACCTGTAATCCCAGCTACCTGGGAGGCTGAGGCAGGAGAATCGCTTTAATCCGGGAGGCGGAGGTTGTGGTGAGCCAAGATTGCACTATTGCACTCCAGCCTGGGTAACAAGGGTGAAACTCTGTCTCAAAAAAAAAAAAAAAAAAAAAAAAAATAGCCAGGTGCAGCAGTTCATGCCTGTAATCCCAGGACTTTGGGAGGCTGAGGCAGGTGGGTCACTTGAGGTCAGGAGTTGGAGTTCAACACCAGTCTGGCCAACGTGGTGAAACCCCGTCTCTACTAAAAATGTAAAAATTAGCCCGGTGTGGTGGTGGTCGCCTGTAATCCCAGCTACTCCGGAGACTGAGGCGGGAGAATCACTGGAACCCGGGAGGCAGAGGTTGCAGCGAGCTGAGATTGCTCCGCTGCACTCCAGCCTATGCCACAGAGTGGGACTCCGTCTCAAAAAAAGAAAAAAAAATTGACCCTCAAAACAATATAAATATCTAATGATAAGGAATTGTTAAATAAGTGTAATAGATCCATGTAATGCAATATTAGTATCCATTAAAGGTTGTGTTTTCAAAAATTTAGTGACATGGGAAAATGTTTAACAAAGCTGCATATAGTGTGATTCCAATTTTATTTTTAAAATGTATTGAGAAGAAACTGAAAGGAAATATACTAAAAACAGTGCTTAAGGTGGGAGGTAGATTTACAACTTGTTCTTATTTCCTTATTCTTTCATGTATTTTCTACAGTGAGCATGTACTTTTTTAATGCATTGTTTTTTGTTTTTTGTTTTTGAGACAGGGTCTCACTCTGTCGCTTGGGCTGGAGGGCAGTGGTGTGCTCTCAGCTCACTGCAGCCTCAACCTCCTGGGCCCAAGTGATGCTCCCACCTCAGCATCCTGAGTAGCTGGGACCACAGGCACCCACCACCACGCCTGGCTAAGTTTGTGTATTTTTTTGTAGAGATAGGGTTTCACCATGTTGCCCAGGCTGGTCTCCAACTCCGGGGCTCAAATGCTCCTCCCACCTCAGCCTCCCAAAGTGCCAGGACTACAGGCGTGAGCCTCTGCCAGGCCTATTTCTTTTTTTTATTATATAAGTTGTACATATTTTATATTCCGGAAACAAAAGTTGCTCGTGACTTCTCTAGGGATGATAACAGAAGGGTGGGGATGGGCAGAAAGAAGGTACAGTATTTCTGTGGGAAACTGAGAGGAGATTGGACACCTCCCCTAATGTTCCTGTGTCTTGTTTCAGAGGACTGATCAAGACTCTGTCATCAGCGTGAGTCCAGCTGTTATGATCCGCAGCTCAAGTCAGGATTCTGAAGTTAGCACCGTGGTAGGGGAACACCACACTGGCATCTTGGTGGGTGGGGTGTGGATTTCCCCTTTGGAAAAGGGCGCTACTTTCTCTTTGGAGGCTGCTCTGAGTCTCAGGTCAGCATGGTTCTCATGGTGGAGAGGTTTAGCATCATAAGTGTGTGTACACGAGATTTCACCCAGAGCTTCTCATCTTATAAAGAAGGTACTTCCAGAGGCTGTCTGACACACCTTTGAAATTGAATATTTTTTTATGGTGGCAGGGAGCTCTAACAGCTTGGCATTTCTGGGGCCCATCCCTGGGGACTATCTCTTACTACCTTTTTTCTTTTACAGGTGAGTAATAGCTCTGGAGAGACTCTTGGAGCTGACAGTGACTTGAGCAGCAATGCAGGTGACGGACCAGGTGGCGAGGGCAGTGTTCACCTGGCAAGCTCTCGGGGCACTTTGTCTGATAGTGAAATTGAGACCAACTCTGCTACAAGCACCATCTTTGTAAGCTTTGTTTGCCAACAAAAGAAGACCATTTCTTTAATGGGGGAGGGAAGCAGGCTAGAAAAGAATGAAAGTTAAGAGACACTAAAGAGGTGAAGGTTAAATAAGGAAGAGGTAATCCTCATATATTTGGCTGTAAGGAAAACATTTCTTAAGGCTTTTTTCAGTCGTTTGACTTACGATCTGGGACTTTTAGAACCCTCTCCTGAATCACTGATGAGTTATGCTCCTTGCCCAGTCAGATAAGGGCTTCGAATCCTATGTAGTATTAATCCCCAGGTCTAACACAGGCAAAGTGATGCCTTTGTGGTATTTGTCAGGACAATCACAGCTCTCATTTAGTACCAGTCTGTTTCTATGGAATATCCAGTTTTATTTTGGTCTCTGCTCTATTTATATAGCATCTTAAAATAGCATTCTATTTTAGTATATTACTAACAGTTATTTGAAGTTTTCATTCATTAATAAACATCCATGAAGTGATTTACTAAGTGCCAGATTTTGCGCTAAAGAAACAGGGATGAAAAAGGCATAATTTTTACTCAAGAAGTTTGTGATTCACTATATTGCTGTGACTAGTCTCTTCTAATAGGTGAGGGGAACAATGCCTTAGGAAAAAAGAACTTCCCTAGATCACACAGTAAGCCTGTAATCAGCTGGAAGGAGATGAATTCTTTTTAGTCCTTGCCTTAGACATCTGGGTTTTTTGTTTGTTTGTTTGTTTGTTTTACACAGGGTCTCACTCTGTTGCCCAGGCTGGAGTGTAGTGGCACAATCACTGCTCACTGCAGCCTTAACCTCCCAGGCTCAAGTGGTCCTCCCACCTCAGCCTCCCAAGTAGCTGGGACTACAGGCATACACCACCATGCCTGGCTAATTTTTTTAGTTTTTTGTAGAAATTGGATTCCCCTCTGTTGTCTAGGCCAGTCTCAAACTCCTGGGTTAAGTGAGCCTCCTGCCTTGGCCTCTCAAAGGGGCATGAGCCACTGTGCCCAGCCTCTGCTTTTTAATGTATATGTGCCTCTATAGGCTGTTAAAACACTGATAGACTTGCCACTTTATTAAACGGAGATGAGAATGGATGTGCTCTATAAGAACTTATAGGCATAGGTCCTTATCTTTGGCCCGTGGGGTGAAAGGAAGAAAAATTTAAATGAAACCAGCTATTTAAGACTGGTAATCATGCCCACTCGCAGAGCCTTCTGTATGTGTTTTTAATAGATTCAGTGACCTCGCAGAGTGAAGATTGGGAATAGGATTGAGAGGCTATTCAAGTTAATGGGCCTTAACTCTCTCTGAGTCTGAACAGACTGGTTGGTTGATTGAATGATTAATTGATTTTTCTTTTGTGCTGACAGTTTATTAGGGGTTTTCTTTTCTTTCTTTCTTCTTCTTTTTTTTTTTTTTTTTTTTTGAGATGAAGTCTCGCTCTGTCGCCCAGGCTGGAGTGCAGTGGTGTAGTCTCGGCTCACTGCAAGCTCCGCGTCCTGGGTTCACGGCATTCTCCTGCCTCAGCCTCCCAAGTAGCTGTTACTACAGGTGCCCGCCACCACACCCAGCTAATTTCTTGTATTTTTAGTAGAGACAAGGTTTCACCGTGTTAGCCATGATGGTCTCGATCCCCTGACCTCGTGATCCTCCCGCCTCAGCCTCCCAAAGTGCTGGGATTACAGGTGTGAGCCACCGCGCCCGGCCAGGGATTTTCAATAATATTTTCTTTTCATATTAGTTCAACCTTCACCCCAAAATCTAACCATGGATCGTAAAAGTTAAGTTGACAACAGGTCTAGCCTGCTATACTTCCTGTTTACCTTTAGATGCTTTTCAAGCCAATAGAGGTTACATTTGTGGTGGAAGGAGCCAGAGTAATAGGAAAATTACTTCTCGGCCGGGCGCGGTGGCTCACGCCTGTAATCCCAGCACTTTGGGAGGCCGAGACGGGCGGATCACGAGGTCAGGAGATCGAGACCATCCTGGCTAACACGGTGAAACCCCGTCTCTACTAAAATACAAAGAAACTAGCTGGGCGTGGTGGCGGGCGCCTGTAGTCCCAGCTACTCGGGAGGCTGAGGCAGGAGAATGGCGTGAACCCGGGAGGCGGAGCTTGCAGTGAGCTGAGTGAGATCCGGCCACCGCACTCCAGCCTGGGTGACAGAGCGAGACTCCGTCTCAAAAAAAAAAAGAAAATTACTTCTCTTCGCTTCAAAGAAAATCCTCCACCTTGAGTGTCTTCTGAACTTTTCACCGTAAGACATCTCAGTGCTTGCTGTACCCTTCAGCCGCATAGCTGTGAGGATAGCAACCATCAGTTTCTCATAAATGGAAGCGGCAGTGAGAACTGTCTACAGCAGTTTGGCTTCAAGGCCTTTGTAGAGGCCCATTATTCCAAAACACCGGTTAGCCATTTGTGTGTCTTTTTTTAAGAGAGATCTGTTCAGCTCATTTGCCCATTTTTTAATAGATTGTGTTTTTTTGCTGTTGAGTTCTTTCTTGTATATTCTAGATATTAATCTCTTGTCAGATGAATAGTTCGTAAATATTTTCTTCCATTCTGCAGACTGTCTCTTCACTCAGTTCATCATGTCCTTTGTTGTGCAGAAGCTTTTTAGTTTAATATAATCCTGTTTGTCTACTTTTGCTTTTGTTGCCTGTGCTTTTGAGGTCTCCATAAACTTTTTGCCCAGACCAATGTCCTGAAGCATTTCTGCTACGTTTTCTTCTAGTAGTTTTATAGTTTTGGGTCTTATATTTAAGTCTTTAATCCATTTTGGGTTGATTTTTGTATATGGTGAGAGGTAGGTGTCTAGTTTTATTTTTCTGAATAATGGATATCAGGTTTTCCGAGCACCATTTATTGAAGAGACTGTCCCTACCCCTGGTGAATATTCTTGGTTCCTTTGTCAAAAAACAGTTGGCTATAAATATATGGATTTCTTTCTGGGTTCTCTATTCTGTTCCATTGGTCTATGGGTCTGTTTTTTATGCCAGTAGCATGCAGTTATGGTTACTGTAGCTTTCTCTTATATTTTGAAGTCTAGTAGTGTGATACCTTTTTGCCCAGTATTGTTTTGGCTATCTGGGGTCTTTTGTGGTTCCATATGAATTTTAGGATTGTTTTTTCTATCTCTGTGAAGAATACCATTGGTGGCCGGCGTGGTGGCTCACGCCTGTAATCCCAGCACTTTGGGAGGCCGAGACGGGCGGATCACGAGGTCAGGAGATCGAGACCATCCTGGCTAACACGGTGAAACCCCGTCTCTACTAAAATACAAAGAAACTAGCTGGGCGTGGTGGCGGGCGCCTGTAGTCCCAGCTACTCGGGAGGCTGAGGCAGGAGAATGGCGTGAACCCGGGAGGTGGAGCTTGCAGTGAGCCGAGATCGCACCACTGCACTCCAGTCTGGGCGACAGAGTGAGACTCCGTCTCAAAAAAAAAAAAAACAAAGAATACCATTAATCTGTAGATCACTTTTGGTAGTATGGTCATTTTCACAATATTCTTCCAATCCATGAACATGGTGTATGTATCTTTACATCTTTTCCCTAAACTCGTTCTTACATCAGTGTTTTCTATTTTTCCTCATGGAGATCTTTTACCTCCTTCATTGAATTTATTCGTAGGGCATTAATTTTTTATTTATTTATTTTTTTGAGATGGTGTCTCGCTCTGTTGCCCAGGCTGGAGTGCAGTGGTGTGATCTCGGCTCACTGCAAGCTCCGCCTCCTGGGTTCACGCCATTCTCCTGCCTCAGCCTCCCGAGTAGCTGGGACTACAGGTGCATGCCACCATGCCCGGCTAATTTTTTTGTATTTTTTTAGTAGAGATGGAGTTTCACCGTGTTAGCCAGGATGGTCTCGATCTCCTGACCTCGTGATCTGCCCACCTTGGCCTCCTAAAGTGCTGGGATTACAGGCGTGAGTCACCGTGCCCGGCCTCAGCTGTTTTATTGTTGGTGTATAGACACACTACTGATTTTTATATGTTGATTTTATATCCTGCAACTTTATTGAATTCACTTATTAGTTCTGAGTTTTCTAGTGGAGATTTTAGGGCTTTCTTTTTTCTTTTTCTTTTTTTTTTTTTTTAAGATAGAACCAGGCTGGAGTAGTGCAGTGGTGCAGTATCGGTTCACTGCAGCCTCCACCTACTGGGCTCAAGCAGTCCTTCCATCTCAGTCTCTCGAGTAGCGGGGACTACAGGCATGCGCCACCATGCCCAGCTGATTTTTGTGTTTGTAGAGACAAGGTGTTCCCATGTTGCCCAGGCTGGTCTGGAACTCCTGGGCTCAAGCGATCCACCTGCCTTGGCCACCCAAAGTGCTAGGATTAACAGGTGTGAACCACAATACCCAGCCCGCTTTGAGGGACAGTTTGACTTCCTTCTGTCCAATTTGGATGCCCTTTCTTTCTCTGGCCTAATTGCTTTGATTGGCACTTCCAGTTGAATAAAAGTGGTGGAATTAGACATCCTTGTCTTGTTACAGATCGTAGAGGAAAAGTTTTCATCTTTTCCCCATTTAGTATGTTGGTTGTGGGTTTGTCATATGTGACTTTTATTGTTTTGAGGTATGTTCGCTCTGTACCTAACTTGTTGAGAGGTTTTATCATGAAGGGATGTTGACTTTTATTGAATACTTTTGTATTTGGTATTAGTTTTTCTTTTTTTTTTTTTTTTTTTTTTTTGAGACGGAGTCTCGCTCTGTCGCCCAGGCTGGAGTGCAGTGGCCGGATCTCAGCTCACTGCAAGCTCCGCCTCCCGGGTTCACGCCATTCTCCTGCCTCAGCCTCCCAAGTAGCTGGGACTACAGGCGCCCGCCACCTCGCCCAGCTAGTTTTTTGTATTTTTTAGTAGAGACGGGGTTTCACCATGTTAGCCAGGATGGTCTCTATCTCCTGACCTCGTGATCCGCCCGTCTCCGCCTCCCAAAGTGCTGGGATTACAGGCTTGAGCCACCGCGCCCGGCCTAGTTTTTCTTTAAATGTTTTTAGAATTCTGCATTGAAGCTATTGGGTCCTGAGCCTTTCTCTTCTTTCTTTCTTTTTTTTTTTTTTTGAGACGGAGTCTTGCTCTGTTGCCCAGGCTAGAGTGCAGTTGTGCGATCTCAGCTCACTGCTACCTCCACCTCCCGGGTTCAAGCAGTTCTCCTGCTTCAGCCTCCCAAGTAGCTGGGATTAAAGGCGCCCATGACCACACCTGGCTAATTTTTGTATTTTTAGTAGAGACGAGGTTTCGCCATGTTGTCCAGGGTGGTCTCGAACTCCTGACCTCAAGTGATCTGCCCCCCTCGGCCTCCCAAAGTGCTGGGATTACAGGCGTGTGCTCCACTGCGCCCAACTTTTTTTTTGAGACAGAGTCTTGCTCTGTTGCTCAGGCTGGAGTGCAGTGGTGTGATGTTGGCTCACTGCAACTTCTGCCTCTCAGGTTCAAGCAATTCTCATACCTCAGCCTCTCGAGTAGCTGGGATTACAGGTATTCACCACCATGCCTGGCTAATTTTTGTATTTTTAATAGAGACAGGGTTTCATCATGTTGGCCAGTCTGGTCTCGAGCTACAGGCCTCAAGTGATCTGCCTGCCTGAGCCTCCCAAAGTGCTGGGATTACAGGCATTAACCATCGTGCTCTGTGATGGGAAGCTTTTTATTACAGATTCAATCTCATTACTTGTAATTGGACCGTTCAGGTTGCTATTTCTTGGTTAAATCTTGGTAGATTGTTTATGTCTAAGAATGTATCCATTTCTAATTTGTTGGCATGTAGTTATAGTCCCTTGTTATTTGTTGTTTTACTGTGATGGCAATTGTAATGTTTCCTTTTTTGTTTTTGGTGTTTTTTTGGCGGGAGTCTTCTCTCTCTCTCTCTCTTTCTCTCTCTCTCTTTCTCTCTCTCTCTCTCTCGGTTAGTCTAGCTCTAATGGTTTGTGGATTTTGTTTCTCTTTACGAAAATGAACTTTTCATTTTGTTGATTATTTATTTATTTATTTTGAGACAGAGTTTTGCTCTTGTTGCCCAGGCTGGAGTGCAATGGTGCATTCTTGGCCCACTGCAACCCCTCCTGGGTTCAGGTGATTCTTCTGCCTCAGCCTCCCAAGTAGCTGAGATTACAGGTGCCAACCGCCACACCCGGCTATTTTTTTTTTTTTTTTGTATTTTTACTAGAGATGGGGTTTCGCCATGTTGGCCAGGCTGCTCTCGAACTCCTGGCCTCAGGTGATCCACCTGTCTCAGCCTCCCAAAGTGTTGGGATTATAAGCGTGAGCCACCATGCCTGGCCTATATTTTTTAGTCTCAATTTTATTTCTGCTCTGATCTTGATTATTTCTTCTACTAATTTTGGGTTTGGTTTGTTCTTGCTTTCACAATTCTTTGAGCTGCATCATTAAGTTGATTTGAAATCCTCCTACTTTTTTGATGTAGACATTCATTGCTATAAGCTTCTTTCTTAATACTGCTTTTGCTGTATCCCATAGGTTTTGGTATGCTGTGTTTTTATTTTCATTTGTGTGAAGAAATTTTTAAATTTCCTTCTTAATTTCTTTGTTGACCCATTGGTCACTCAGGAGCATATTTAATTTCCGTGTATTCGTATGATTTTAAAAGTTTGTTATTTCTAATTTTCAGAGCACAGTGTTCCCTTGTGGTCTGAAAAGATACTTGCTGTGATTTCAGTTTTCTTAAATTTCTCGTTATACTTATTTTGTGGCCTAATATGTGGTCTGTCCTAGAGAATGTTCTGGGTGTTGATGAAAAGAATGTGTATTCTACAGCTGTTGGATGGAATGTTCTGTAAATGTCTGTTAGGTCCATTTGGTCTAAAAAGCAATCTGAATCTAAAATGCAGTTTAAATCCAGTGTTTCTGTGTTGATTTTCTGTCTAGATGATCTGTCCAATGCTGAGAGTGAGGTATTGAAGTCCCCAACTGTTACTGTATCGGAGTATATCTCTCCCTTTAGATCTAATAATATTTGCAATATTTGCTTTATATAACTGTTTGGTGTTGAATGCATATGTATTTGCAATTGTTATATCCTCTTGCTGAAGTGATCCCTTTGTTACTATATAATTATTTTGTCTCTTTTTAGGTGTTGGGTTTTTTTTTTTTGAGACAGTCTCTCACTCTGTCGCCCAAGCTGGAGTGCAGTGGTGCGATCTTGGCTCACTGCAACCTCCGCCTCCAGGGTTTTCAAGCGTTTCTTCTGCCTTAGCCTCCCAAGTAGCTGCGACGGCAGGCGTGTGCCACCACACCTGGCTAATTTTTTTTTTTTTTTTTTTTTTTTGAGACGGAGTCTGGCTCTGTCGCCAGGCTGGAGTGCAGTGCAGTGGCTGGATCTCAGCTCACTGCAAGCTCCGCCTCCTGGATTCATGCCATTCTCCTGCCTCAGCCTCCGGAGTAGCTGGGACTACAGGCGCCCGCCACCTCGCCCGGCTAGTTTTTTGTATTTTTTTTAGTAGAGACGGGGTTTCACCGTATTAGCCAGGATGGTCTCGATCTCCTGACCATGTGATCCCGCCCGTCTCAGCCTCCCATTTTTTGTATTTTTAATAGGTACGGGATTTTACCATGTTAGCCAGGAACTCTGGATCTCCTGACGTGGTGATCCAGCCACCTTGGCCTCCCAAAGTGTTGGGATTACAGGCGTGAGCCACTGCACCCGGCTGAAAATCTTTTAATGAATAGAAAATCTACTCAGAAGTAGCAGATGAAGTTAGTGATATTTCTTAGGGACAGTAAAAGATAGGAAAGAAGAAATGAACATTTCTCAATTACTAGCCATGTGCTAGGCACTGTTAGGTGCTTTATATGTATTTTCAAATTTAATTCTTGTAAAGTAGTCCTATGAGGTAGGTATTATAACCTTCCTTTGACAGATTAGGAAAATGAGGCTCAGGGAAGCTGATTTTTGTACCTAAGGTCACATAAGCTAATAAGAGGCAGGGATCTGAGCCTTAGTCAGTCTGATGGTAAACCCTGGGTTCTTTCTGCTGTGTTACGTAACTACACAGAGAATTAATCTGATTGTTATTGTTGTTGCTTTAAAGAGAAAATAATCTTACAGAGACTAAGGAGTAAAGATAAGTCAAAAATGAAAACTTTATTGTATAGTTTAGGAGGCATGGTGGACTTGCAGAAGCATGGGTACTGGAGTTTATGTTGTTAATGGATGGTGACTGGTGTGACAGCCTCTTAGTGAAATGCTTGGTTTCCTTTGCCCCTGTTCATTGCTACCTCGGCCACTGACCTATCATCTCTTCTCTCTAGGGTAAAGCCCATAGCTTGAAGCCAAGCGTAAAGGAGAAGCTGGCAGGCAGCCCCATTCGCACTTCTGAAGATGTGAGCCAGCGAGTCTATCTCTATGAGGGACTCCTAGGTGAGAAACACACTGGGAAGGCCCTTTGCACTGGAGAAAGCTGGCTCAGCCAGGGGAGAGGGTCACACTGAACAAGTAGCTGGTTGGCTTTCTGCTGATCTCAATGCTGACATTAGATAGCAGTTTTATACCTGAAGCAAGCGACTTACTGTGTCCAGAACAAGCAGTGGGTGAAAACTGGACAAGATTGGGTTTTGGTGTTAATCAACAGCCTCTGCCTTTCTGTCTTCCTTTCTTTCCTTTCTTGCTACCATGGTCCTTCCTGCTCTCAAATTGGCAGGAAGGGACAAAGGATCCATGTGGGACCAGTTAGAGGATGCAGCTATGGAGACCTTTTCTATAAGTAACCACATTTATTTGTGTGCTGTGTTCATCCCTCCTCCTTGGGAGGGACTGGGCGTTACTTGAAGGCATCTGGGGCTGGTGGCAGGCATGTTAGATCTGGGGTAGAGAGATTGTGTTTGCTTTGCCCTGGAATTTGTAATTATTCCCTTTTATCTGGATTTTACTCTTTATTTTTGTTTGGCAGCTATATTCTTAAATGTTAAATAGGCCCCCTAAGAAACCTTTATTCTACGCAGGCAAAGAGCGTTCTACTTTATGGGACCAAATGCAATTCTGGGAAGATGCCTTCTTAGATGCTGTGATGTTGGAGAGAGAAGGCATGGGTATGGACCAGGGTCCCCAGGAAATGATCGACAGGTATGGGGCTTAGGAAACCATTGGGAATATGCAGACAGCCTCCTCCTGGTTAGTTCCGTGGTCTCCCACTTGAGGGCTGACTTGTGCTTTGTCTTCTGCTTAGGTACCTGTCCCTGGGAGAACATGACCGGAAGCGCCTGGAAGATGATGAAGATCGCTTGCTGGCCACCCTTTTGCACAACCTCATCTCCTACATGCTGCTGATGAAGGTAATGTCATTTTGCTGTGTCCAGCTCCACTGATGCTAGAAGGGCAAGGCTTGTTCCTGTCACCTGAATTTCGGGGCAGCTGGGAAGCTATCAAGGTATCTTACTTAGGGCTGTCTTCTTGATTGAAAGTCTGAGGCCTCTCTGCCAGCTTAACAATGTTCTGTTTCTCTGAAGCTGCCAGCCTGTTTTACTAAGGAGTGTTGTAGAAATAACTGATGATTCTCTTTTTTTTTTTTTTTTGAGACAGAGTCTTGCTCTGTCGCCCAGGTAGGAGTGCAGTGGCGCAATCTCAGCTCACTGCAACCTCCACCTCCCCAGTTCAAGTGATTCTTGTGCCTCAGCCTCCCCAGTAGCTGGGATTATAGGTGCAGACCACCATACCCAGCTAGTTTTTGTATTTTTAGTAGAGACGGGGTTTCACCATGTTGGCCAGGCTGGTCTCAAACTCCTGACCTCAGGTGATCCACCCGCCTTGGCCTCCCAAAGTGCTGGGACTACAGGCATGAGCCACTGCGCCTGGCCAAGAACTGATGATTCCATACTATTTATTTATTTATTTATTTTTATTTTCATTTTTTTTGAGACAGAGTCTCACTCTGTCACCCAGGCTGGAGTACAGTGGCACGGTGTTGGCTCACTGCATCCTCTGCCTCCCGGGTTCAAGCAATTCTCCTGCGTCGGCCTCCTGAGTAGCTGGGATTACAGATGTCTGCCACTACGCCCAGCTAATTTTTCTATTTTTAGTAGAGATGGGGTTTCACCATGTTGGCCAGGCGCCTTGGTCTCGTACTTCTGACCTCAAGTGATCCTCTTGCCTCAGCCTCCCAAAGTGCTGGGATTACAGGCAGGAGCTACCATGCCCAGCCATTATTTGTTTATTTTGAGATTTATATGGTCTCCCTTTACTGAGTAGTTTTAGGATGCCAGTAGAGCTTCCCACAAAATACAATGAATTAATTTTTCTTTTTTACAGTAGTAGATTTTTAAAACTTAGAAAGGATGCTCAGGACCAGGAGTGGTGGCTCACGCCTGTAATCCCAGCACTTTGGGAGGCCAAGGCAGATGGATCACCTGAGGTCAGGAGTTCTAGACTAGCCTGACCAATATGGTGAAATCCTGTCTCTACTAAAAATACAAAAGTTAGCTGGGCATGGTGGCTCACGCCTCTGATCCCAGCTACTTGGAAGGCTGAGACAGGAGAATCGCTTGAACTCTAGAGAAGAAGGTTGCAGTGAGCTGAGATCGCACCATTATATTCCAGCCTAGGCAACAGGAGTGAAAATCCATCTCAAAAAAAAAAAAAGAAACGATGCTCAGATTTTGTTTTTCAGGACAGCCCTATATCTTACAGAATTTTCCATAGTTATAAGAAGAGCCAGCCATTAACAAAGTAATAGTAGATAGAACTTGGTATGTTGTACTTGGTTTTGTGGCTGTGGAAGAAGTATGTTACCAAGTAGAAGAGTTCTGCTCTCAAAGGGAAACATAAGTCTGGAGTTGATGGGTAGAAGAGAATCGTTTGGAGAAGGAGCCACTGGGTTTCTCCTCCTTTTGTTCTCCCTAACCTCCCTAAGTGTGAAGGGATCAGTTGATCAAATGCAGAGAATGCCCCCAGCCCCTCTTGGTTTGCTTCATTTCCTGGTGTAAGTTTCACTGTACTCTGGAATTTGGAGGGTACTGGTTGACTCTGGCTGGGAAAGGATGATGATCCCTAACCTTCAGAGATGTCTTAGCTACAACCCAGTCTGGTGTTGCCACTCTAAGTCATTTCTGAATTACACTATGAAGAGCCTTGGGGGTTTTCAGAGCCATTGTAGGGGTGAATGTTGTGGTATTGAGTGGGGATAGGGAGAAAGTCTCCTCTGGAACCAGAACTGCTCTAAGAGCCACTTTTCTGCAGAAGCTAACTAGAGACAGAGCCAGGACTTTTCTTCCCCTCATGGTGGCAGAATACACAGTTGAAAGTTTTCTCCCTTGTTCAGTGATGTGGTCTTTCAGAATTTCACTTCTCTCAGATGGTGGGAAACCCACTTGTACATTCTCTTCTCTCTACCTCAGTCGAGAGGAGAGCAGATCCCTTGTTAAGAGTCCTGTTTTGGCTTTTCAGGTAAATAAGAATGACATCCGCAAGAAGGTGAGGCGCCTAATGGGAAAGTCGCACATTGGGCTTGTGTACAGCCAGCAAATCAATGAGGTGCTTGATCAGCTGGCGAACCTGGTAAGCACATCTGGCCACCCCTTAGGCTTCCCATGGGTCGTTTCTTGGTTTGTGTCACTTCCAGTCCAGTTCACCCCTGATTTTGCAAATGGAGCAGTTGTCTTTGACTCTAAATGAGGCATTAGTCCCTGTGTTCTGTGATGGGATTCTCTGTATAAAACTATCATAGTGCATCAGTTTTGATGTGTGGTCTGGACTGCTGAGGTTTCAGAAGGTGAAAACTATTTCAAATGATTCTAAAATGTTATTTGCCATTTTCACAGGGTTACGTTTGCACTGATGGTACCAAAGCAGTGGTGGGTACAACTGCTGGCACTTTAACCCAAGTGAAGACAATGGCCCCAAACTATGCCAGCAGCCATTTTATTCCTTGCCTCGATACACTCTCAGTTTTTTATTTTTGTTTTGTTTGTTTTTTGAGACAGACTCTCACTTTGTCGCCCAGGCTGGAGTGCAGTAGTGCAATCTTGGCTCACCGCAATCTCCACCTCCTAGGTTCAAGCGATTCTCATGCCTCAGCCTCCCGAGTAGCTGGGATTACAGGCGTGTGCCCCCACACCCAACTGATTTATTTATATATATATAGAGAGAGAGAGGGAGAGAGAGACAGAGTTTCACTCTCTTGTTGCCCAGGCTGGAGTGCAATGGTGCAACTTTGGCTCACTGCAGTCTCTGCCTTGTGGGTTCAAGCAGTCTTCCTGCTTCAGCCTCCTGAGTAGCTGAGGTTACAGGCATGCACCACCACGCCTGGCTAATTTTTGTATTTTTAGTAGAGACGGGCATTCGCCAGGCTGATCTCGAACTCCTGACCTCAAATGATCTGCCTGCCTCAGCCTCCCAAAGTTCTGGGATTACGGGCGTGAGTCACTGCACCTGGCTTACACTCTTAGTTTTTTAAAAATGCTAGTTGTGCTTATAAATGTCCTTGAAGAAGCAGTGAAAACTGTTACTTTTATTAAATTGATTGATTATACTTTTTTTTTTTTTTTTTTGAGACGAAGTCTCGCTCTGTCGCCCAGGCTGGAGTGCAGTGGTGCCATCTCGGCTCACTGCAAGCTCTGCCTCCCGGGTTCATGTCATTCTCCTGTCTCAGCCTCCCTAGTAGCTGGGACTACAGGCCCCCGCCACCACGCCCAGCTAATTTTTATATTTTTAGTAGAGACGGGGTTTCACCATGTTGGTTAGGCTGGTCTCTAACTCCTGACCTTGTGATCCACCCACCTCGGCCTCCCAAAGTGCTGGGATTACAGGTGTGAGCCACCACTCCCAGCCAAGGGAGACCCCATTTCTACAAAAAATAAAAAAATCAGCCAGGCACGGTGGCATGCACCTGTAGTCCTAGCTACTTGGGAAGCTGAGGTCACTTGAGCTCAGGAGGTTGAGGCTGCCATGATTCATGATCGCACCACTGCACTCCAGCCTGGGTGACAGAATGAAACCCTGTTTCAAAAAAAAAAAAAAAGAAAAAAGATGTATGGAGAATAGGAGCTCACTGTTGCCCAGGCTGGTCTCCAACTCCTGCCTGGGCTCAAACAGTACTCCCGACTTGGCCTCCTAAAGTGTTGGGATTATAGGAATGAGCCCCCATGTTTGGCCTAAATGGATTTTAATGTAATAGTGTAAAATGTTCGTTGATGTGCTTTCAGATTCCACACTGCAGCTAACTTTCAAAAGCTGCTGTTGCTGGGTGTTGTGATTTATGCCTGTAATCCCAGGTACTTGGGAGGCTGAGGCAGGAGTGTCACTTATGCCCAGGAGTTCAAAGCTGTAATGGGCTATGGTCATGCCACTGAACTCCAGCCTGGGTGACAGAGCGAAACCTTGTCTCTAAAAAAAAAGAAGCTGCTACTTCTCAAGTTCTGGTATAGTGTTAAAAAAGAATACGTCTATTTATCTGAAAAGGCTATGAAAATCCTCTTCCATTTTCCAAATACGTAACTGTTAGGTCGTTTTTTTCATATACCTCAACCAAAGCAACATACTGCAACAGACTCAATGCAGAAGCAGATAGGAGAATGCAGCTATTTGCTGTTAAGTCAAACATTAAAGAGATTTGCAAAAATGTGAAATGGTGCCTTTTTTTTTTAGAAAATATAGTTCTTAAAAATGTTTATATTACTATGTAATGGGTTATTAATGAATTAATTGTTTTTATAATTATTTGAGAAATTTCTGTTTAAATTTCTAGTATGTAAATATCTATAACTCACATAAACAAAAGCTCTTTGGAATCTTCAATAAATTTTAAGAGATATGGGGCTTCTGAGACCAAAACATCTGAAACCACTTCCCGGGTGACCAGTGGCCAGCAGATGAGACTGTGCTGAGAAAGCTGATATGAATTTGATTGCTGGATGGGGAATTCTTGGCCCAGAGCCCTCTTGAGAGGGATGTATGACTGTCTCAAAAAAATCTCTCTTTCATCAGAATGGACGCGATCTCTCTATCTGGTCCAGTGGCAGCCGGCATATGAAGAAGCAGACATTTGTGGTACATGCAGGGACAGATACAAATGGAGATATCTTTTTCATGGAGGTAGGTGCTGGTTCACGCTGGGGGCCCAAAGGGCTGTTGGAGAGTCACAGGGAACTCCTAGAACTGATGCCAGAATATTTTTCTCGTTTCTCTCATTCATCTTCATGATCCATTTATCATTAAATTATCAGATTGGGATTTTCTGGGTTTTTTGTGTGTGTTTTTTTGAGATAGGGTCTCGCTCTGTCACCCAGGCTGAAGTGCAGTGGCTTGATCTCGGCTCACTGCAACCTCCGCCTCCCGGGTTCAAGCAGTTCTCCTGCCAGAGCCTCGCAAGTAGCTGGGATTACAGGCGCCAGCCACCATGCCCGGCTGATTTTTCTATTTTTAGTAGACATGGGATTTGATCATGTTGGCCAGGCTGGTCTCAAACTCCTGACCTCAAGTAATCCACCCACCTTGGCCTTCCAAGGTGCTAGGGTTACAGGCGTGAGCCACCGCACCCAACCAGATTATCAGATTGTTATTCAGATAATTAAATTTTATATAGTTATAGTAGATGATACCCATTTCTTTTTTTTTTTTTTTTTTTTTTTTTTTTGAGACAGAGTATTGCTCTGTCACCCAGGCTGGAGTGCAGTGGCGTGATCTTGGCTCACTATAGCCTCCACCTCCCAGGTTCAAGCAATTCTCCTGCCTCAGCTTCCTGAGTAGCTAGGATTACAGGCATGCACCACCATGCCTGGCCAATTTTTTGTATTTTAGTAGAGACGGGATTTCATCATGTTGGTTGGCCAGGCTGGTCTTGAACTCCTGACCTCAAGTGATCCACCTGCCTTGACCCTCCAAAGTACTGGGATTACAGGTGTGAGCCACCGCGCCCAGCCCTATTTATTTTATATACACACACACACACACACACACACAGATATAAAGATATCTATCTATATGTAGATGATATAGTCACATTGTTCATAAATCAGAATAACAGAAAATAGTACACATTGGGAAGTCTTACACTCATTCTTGTCCCCTTCCACTGAATTTTCCACTCCCCTCACCCCTTCATCCTATAGACAACCACTTTTATTAGTTTCCTTTGTAAATTCCAGTGAATTTTTTTTTTTCTTTTTGAGACAGAGTCTTGCTCTGATGCCCAGGCTGGAGTGCAATGGCGTGATCTCGGCTCACTGCAACCTCCACCTCCTGGATTCAAGCAATTCTCCTGCCTCAGGCTCCCAAGTAGCTGGGATGACAGGCGCCTGCCACCATGCCCGACTAATTTTTTGTATTTTTTTTTAGGGATGGGTTTTCGCCATGTTTGTCAGGCTGGTCTCGAACTCCTGACCTCAGTGATGCACCCGCCTCGGCCTCCCAAAGAACTGGGATTGTAGGCATGAGCCAGTGCCCCGGGCCTTCCAGTGGATTTTTATGCAAACAATAAAATATGAACACAAATTCTTCTTTTTCTTTTTCTTTTTTTTTTTTTCTCTTTGAGTTGGAGTCTCGATGAACACAAATTCTTATTTTTCTCCCTTCTTTTTTTTCTCTCTTTGAGACGGAGTCTCGCTCTTTTGCTCAGGCTGGAGTACAGTGGTCCAAACTCGCCTCACTGCACCCTCCGCCTCCTGGGTTCAAGCAATTCTCCTGTCTCAGCCGCCCAAGTAGCTGGGATTACAGGCACCCACCACCATGCCCAGCTAATTTTTCTATTTTTAGTAGAGACGGGGTTTCACCATATTGGCCAGGCTGGTCTTGAACTCCTGACCTCAAGTGATCCGCCCACCTTGGCCTCACAAAGTGCTGGGATTATAGGCCTAAGCCACGCCACCTGACCTATTTTTGTCCTTTCTTTCAGAAAGATAGCGCATCTTATCAATTGCTTTATTCCTTGGGTTTTTTCATTTAATACTGTCCTGGTCCTCTTCTGTATCAGTACCAAGAAAGCTTTCCCACTCGTTTTATGGCTACGTGTATTCCACTGTGTGACTGTGCCTTAATTTATTTAACCAGTCACTACATATGGATCCTTGGGTTGCTTCCAAATTTGCTGTTAGTGATACTGTGAATGATGCTGTGCCTGCTTCATTTTATACATGTGCAAGTGTGTCTAAGGATTCCCAGAAATGAGATTGCTGGGTCAGAGGGACAATGTATTTGTAATTTTGGTTGATGGAATTCTTAAGTGTCTCATAACATGTAATACCCCCTTTGCAATTTATTTTGTTGAAGAAATTGGATCATTTGCCCTGTGGAGTCTCCTACATTCTAGATTTTTTGCTGATTGTGTCTCCTTTCTGTTAGCGTGTTTCTCTGTCACATATTTCTCATAGACTGGTAGTTCAGTTTAGAGGTTTGATCACTTTCAGATTCACTCTTCTGGGAAGAACACTTAATGAGTGGTGCTATATGCTTCTTGTTGCCTCTTATGGTCATCCCTGTCCTACTGATCAGTGGGCTCAGATGTGGGCAGTCTGATCTGCCCACCAGAAAGTTCCTCATTTGTCTTTTCTGATTTTGCCTATGATATTTTTTGACACACATAAATTTTTTACTTGGATATAATTTTTTTTTTTTTTTTTTTGAGACAGAGTCTGTCTCTGTCGCCCAGGCTGGATGCAGCGGCATGATCTCGGCTCACTGCAACCTCTGCCTCCCAGGTTCAAGCAATTCTCCTGCCCCAGCATCCCAAGTAGCTGGGATTACAGGTGCCTGCCACCACACCCGGCTAATTCTTGTATTTTTAGTGGAGATGGGGTTTTACCATGTTGGCCAGGGTGGTCTCGCACTCCTAACCTCAAGTGATCCACCCACCTCAGCCTCTCAAAGTGCTGGGATTACAGGTGTGAGCCATCACGCCTGGCTACTTTTATATAATTAAATTAATCAATAGTTTCTTTTACGGCTTCTGGATTTTGAGACATAGTTAGAAAAAGCCTTACTCTCTAGAATTATAAAGGAAATTGACTATGTTTTTTTCATTTCTGTGTTTTTAATTCTGAAACAGACCTCTAAGTAATTTTAAGGACCAAGTACAACTCCTAAATATAAAGTAGTGAAATTTTGCTTATGTTATCTGTTCTCCTGTGATTTAGCTGAATTTGATTTCCACAGTCACAGTTTTTTGAACAGGTGGTTTACCAAACAGAGGGGCTTACCCTGAAGCAGAAACATACACGTCAGTGTAGCCAAGAAGGAGTCATTTTCATGTCACCCTTTAAAGTGTTAGAATTTGCCTTGTTGCCTCTCGGAGCTGAGGGCTGACTCAGGACGCCTGCACCACAGTAGAAGTGCCACATGACTCTTGCCCTTTTCTTTTCCTTTAAAAAAAAAATCTCTCCAGCAGTTTCTTTGGACTACTCTTACTCTCACCACTGTACAGAGGGAGCCTCATGCTAAGTCTCTGGAGTGTGGGACTGGACGCATTGCCCAAATAGATGCCACTTCCTTGAAGTGGTGCCATGCCAGGGAAGAGTGCACCATGGTCACTGTGACATCACCTGGCTACTGTGAGGCTATTTGATTTTGCCTTTCTCAGAGCATAGCCTGCTTTCTGCATGATCAATTGGACAGCAATTTGGGAATTTTTTTCTTTTTTTTTTTTTGAGACAGAGTCTCACTCTGTTGCCTAGGCTGAAGTGCAGTGGCGCAATCTTGGTTCACTGCAACCTCTGCCTCCCAGGTTCAAGCGATTCTCCTGCGTCAGCCTCCTGAGTAGCTGGGACTACAGGCACATGTCATCATGTCTGGCTAATTTTTGTATTTTTAGTAGAGATGGGGTTTCACCACGTTGGCCAAGCTGGTCTCAAACTCCTGACCTCAAGTGATCCGCCCACCTCAGCCTCCCAAAGTGCTGGGATTACAGGTGTGAGCTGCCGTGCCTGGCCAAGGAAGATTTTTTTTTTTTTTTTTTTTTTGGAGATGGAGTCTTGCCCTGTCACCCAGGCTGGAGTGCAGTGGCACAATCTTGGCTCACTGCAACATCTACCCACTGAGTTCAAGCAATTCTACCTCAGCCTCCCAAGTAGCCGGGACTACAGGCACGCATCACCATGCTCGGCAAATTTTTGGTATTTTTAGCAGAGATGAGGTTTTGCCATGTTGGCCAGGCTGGTCTTGAACTCCTGGTCTTAAGTGATCTGTCTGCCTCGGCCTCCCAAAATGCTGGGATTACAGGTGTGAACCTCCGTACCCGGCCAAAGATTTTTTGTTTTTTTTTTGAGAGAGAGTCTTGCGGTGTTGCCCAGGCTGGAGTGCAGTGGTGTGATCTCAGCTCAGTGCAAGCTTCGCCTCCCAGGTTCACACCATTCTCCTGCTTCAGCCTCCCAAGTAGCTGGGACTACAGGCACCCAACACCTTGCCCGGCTAATTTTTTGTGTTTTTAGTAGAGACAGGGTTTCACCGTGTTAGCCAGGATGGTCTCAATTTCCTGACCTCGTGATCTGCCCGCCTCGGCCTCCCAAAGTGCTGGGATTACAGGTGTGAGCCACCGCGCCCGGCCACCAAAGATTTTTAAAAATTGTTTTTATTGCCCTTTTTTTTAGTTACAAAAGTAAAACAGTATATGCTATAAATGTTTCAAACCAGCCAAAAGTTTAAAAATAATTAAAAGTTTTACTCCCTCTCAATCCTTTGTCCCAGAGGTAACCACTATTAAAGAGTTTTGTGTGACTTCTTTCAGATTATTGAAAATGCATATTTGTGTAAATATAATTTATTTATATGGAATTTTGTTTTGGCACTTGTGGAAGTGGTATGAAATTACAAATGTTGGCCGGGCGCGGTGGCTCAAGCCTGTAATCCCAGCACTTTGGGAGGCCGAGACGGGCAGATCACAAGGTCAGCAGATCGAGACCATCCTGGCTAACCCGGTGAAACCCCGTCTCTACTAAAAAATACAAAAAACTAGCCGGGCAAGGTGGCGGGCGCCTGTAATCCCAGCTACTGGGGAGGCTGAGGCAGGAGAATGGCGTAAACCCGGGAGGCGGAGCTTGCAGTGAGCTGAGATCCGGCCACTGCACTCCAGCCTGGGCGGCAGAGCGAGACTCCGTCTCAAAAAAAAACAAAAAACAAAAAACAAAAAAACAAATGTTGGGCTGGGCGGGGTGACTCACATGAGCCTATAATCCCAGCACTTTGGGAGGCTAAGGCAAGCAGATCACCTGAGGTCAGGAGTTCCAGACCAACCTTGCCAACATGGTGACACCCTGTCTCTCCTAAAAATAAAAAAATTAGGCGGCTGTGGTGGCAGGCGCCTGTAATCCCAGCTACTTGGGAGGCTGAGGTAGGAGAATCGCTTGAACCCAGAGGGTGAGGTTGCAGTGAGCCAAGATCATGCCACTGCCGCAGCCTGGGTGACAAAGCGAGACTCCATCTCAAAAAGAAAACAACAAACAAATTACAGATATTGTTAAATAATTTGCTTTTTTCACTTAATGATATACTTTTCCATGTCTCTCTCTTTTTTTTTTTAGTTTAATGGATGCTTAGCCATTAGATATTATATGGTGTACCATAATTGGTTTAACTAGTGCCTCCCACTGTTTTTTTTTTTTTTTTTTTTTTTTTGAGACGGAGTCTCGCTGTGTCTCCCAGGCTGGAGTGCAGTGGCGCGATCTCGGCTCACTGCAAGCTCCGCCCCCTGGGTTCACGCCATTCTCCCGACTCAGCCTCCCAAGTAGCTGGGACTACAGGCACCCGCTACCACGCCTGGCTAATTTTTTTGTATTTTTAGTAGAGACGGGGTTTCACCGTGTTAGCCAGGATAGTCTCGATCTCCTGACCTCGTGATCCACCCGCCTCGGCCTCCCAAAGTGCTGGGATTACAGGCTTGAGCCACCGCGCCCGGCCTGTTTTTTTTTTTAAATATTGCTCAGGCCGGGTGCGGTGGCTCAAGCCTGTAATCCCAGCATTTTGGGAGGCCGAGATGGGCAGATCACGAGGTCAGGAGATCGAGACCATCCTGGCTAACACGGTGAAACCCCGTCTTTACTAAAAAAATACAAAAAACTAGCCGGGCGAGGTGGCGGGCGCCTGTAGTCCCAGCCACTCGCGAGGCTGAGGCAGGAGAATGGCGTAAACTCGGGAGGCGGAGCTTGCAGTGAGCTGAGATCCGGCCACTGCACTCCAGCCTGGGCAACAGAGCGAGACTCTGTCACAAAAAAAAAAAAAAAAATTGCTCATTGGGCCAAGCATGGTGGCTCACGCCTGTGATCCCAGTATTTTGGGAGGCCAAGGCAAGAGGATTGCTTGAGCTCAAGAGTTTGAGACCAGCATGGGCAACAAGAGAGAAACCCTGTCTCTACAAAAAATTTAAAAATTAGTCATACATGTGGTGGTGTATGCCTGTGGTCCCAGCTATTAGGAATGCTGAGGTGGGACGTTCGCTTGAGCCCAGGAGGTCAAGACCAGCCTGGGCAACATAGGGAAACCCTGTCTCCACAAAAAAAAATTTTAAGTAAGCTAGGCATGCTAGTACATGCCCGTGGTCCCAGCTACTGGGGAGGTTAAGCTGGAGGATCCTTGAGCCTGGTAGATCAAGGCTTCAGTAAGCTCTGATTGCATCACTTCAGTCCAGCCTGGGTGACAGAGCAAGACCCTGTCTCAAAAATAAATAAATAAAAAATAAAAATTGCTCATTGAATATCCTTGAGCATATATTTTTGCACCCTCACATGAGAATTTCTATAGGATATTGTCCTAGACATGAAATTTTCAAGTCAAGCTTATTACATTTAAGATTTCATTAGATTTTGCCAAATTGCCATCCCAAAGACTATACCAGTTTACACCTTCAACAGCCACTTAGGTGACTCTAACAGTATATTACGAGCATTTCTCTAGCCTAGAATGCTCTAGCTTAGAAATCATGTGTTCTCCTAAATGTGTTCTGCCCGCCTTTACATGATGTTCTTAAAGGATTATGAAAGGTGGAGTGGTATGGTCCATTTTCCCTCTGGAGAAAACCACAGAGTCAGACTGGGGCTAGAACTCAGGTTTCCCATTCCTACTCTGCCACTTTGACTCATTCTCCAAAGGCTTTAGAACTCCAGTAAACTCTTATAGAGTAGCTTAAACTTGATAGTCTTGTGTAGTCCTTACTCACCTAATATTTATGGAGCACATATTATGTGCTAGGTAGTTTTTTGGGTGTCGGGATTATAGCAGTGAATAAGACAGACGTGATTTCTATTGCCCTTAGCATTGACTAGCTATCGGGGAAATCAAATAAATAAAGAGTATTATAAAATACAGTGAGCATTATGAAAGAAGCTCAGGGGGCAGGAGTTATGGGAATATATAGCAGAGGGCCTTGGAGCTGTGGACAACTCCTTTGAGAAGTTGACCTTTGAGCTTAGACTTGAAGAAAAAGTAAGAGTTAATGGCTGGGGAGTGGAAGAGCAGTCAGGGATATTTGAGCTAGAACCAATGGGACTCAGTGATGGAGTGTAGTTAGAGGGAAGAGGAGGGAGTCGGGCATCACTTCTTCATTTCAGGCTGGGGCAGCTGGGTGGATGGTGGTGCCGTTTCCTCAAATAGCAGACTTAAAAAGAGGATCTGCCCAGGAGGAGATGTTGAGTTCAGATTTGGACACAATGAGTTTGAGGTGCTACATGTGAAGCATCCAGACATTGAGAGGATCAGGAGCTCAGGAAGAGAGGTCTAAGATGGAGAAAGAGGTAAGAACCATCAACGTGGTAATAATCATTAGTTTCATAGTTCTGATATCTAGTAGCCAATTAGGGTACTTTCTGTGTGCCTGGCTTTGTATGCACCTTACGTACTTTATGCACATTAACTCATTTAGTCTTCGTAGTAACTGTAGGAAGTTATTACTGTTACTATCCCCGTCTTACCCGTGAGGAACTGTGGACACAGATGAACTTGCTCAGGTGGCACAGCTCAGTAATGGCAGAGCTGGAATCTAAACTCAGGCTGACTTTAGACCTGTGCCCTTCACCACTGTGCTATAATGTCTCCTGTAACATTTGAAGCCTTAAGAACAGATAACTGGCCGGGTACAGTGGCTCACACCTGTAATCCCAGCACTTTAGGAGGCCAAGGTAGGCAGATCATGAGATCAGGAGATCGAGACCATCCTTGCTAACACGGTGAAACCTTGTCTCTACTTAAAAAAAAAAAAAAAATTAGCCGGGCATGGTGGCGTGCGCCTGTAGTCCCAGCTACTTGGGAGGCTGAGGCAGGAGAATGGCGTGAACCTGGGAGGCGGAGCTTGCAGTGAGCTGAGATCACGCCACTGCACTCCAGCCTGGGCGACAGAGCAAGACTCCGTCTCAAAAAAAAAAAAAAAGAACGGATAACTTCACCTGAAAGAGAATGTTGAACAGAAGGTGTCAAAGATATTTGGTTTTTAATTTATATCATCCTGTATTGTATCATTTTTATGCAGTAGGCACTGTTCGTGTGTCACTTGTATTAATTTTTTAAAATATTTTTATAGAGCCGGGCGCGGTGGCTCACGCCTGTAATCCCAGCACTTTGGGAGGCCAAGGCTGGCGGATCACAAGGTCAGGAGATCGAGACCATCCTGGTGAACACGGTGAAACACCGTCTCTACTAAAAATACAAAAAAAATTAGCCAGGCGCGGTGGTGGGCGCCTGTAGTCCCAGCTGCTCCGGAGGCTGAGGCAGGAGAATGGTGTGAACCCAGGAGGCGGAGCTTGCGGTGAGCCGAGACTGCGCCACTGCACTCCAGCCTGGGCGACAGAGCAAGACGCCGTATCAAAAAATATATATATACAAATATATATATTTTTATAGATATAGGGTAGACCCAGGATTAGAAAGTACATCAGCTCCCATTTTTCTCCTTGGTTAAGTCTGTCATGATCTCCTGCCTTTGTGTTTGTCAACAAAGATGATTCCTGAGGTCGTAAGATGGAGGCATGAGATCTCCTCCAAATACTTTAAGTCCATAGAGCACATAAAAGGTAAATAAATAACTGGGCTGGCCGGGCACGGTGGCTCAAGCCTGTAATCCCACCACTTTGGGAGGCCGAGACGGGCGGATCACGAGGTCAGGAGATCGAGACCATCCTGGCTAATACAGTGAAACCCCATCTCTACTAAAAAATACAAAAAACTAGCCAGGCGAGGTGGTGGGCGCCTATAGTCCCAGCTTCTAGAGAGGCTGAGGCAGGAGAATGGCGTAAACCCGGGAGGCGGAGCTTGCAGTGAGCTGAGATCCGGCCACTGCACTCCAGCCTGGGCGACAGAGCGAGACTCCATCTCAAAAATAAATAAATAAATAAATAAATAAATAAATAACTGGGCTTAGTGCGGTGGGTCACACCTGTAATCCCAGCACTTTGGGAGGCCAAGACGGGTGGATCACTTGAGGTCAGGAGTTCAAGACCAGCCTGGCCAACATTATGAAACCCTGTCTCTACTAAAAATACAAAAATTAGCCAAGCATGGTGGTATGTGCCTGTAGTCTCAGCTACTCAGGAGGCTGAGGCAGGAGAATCATTTGAACCCATGAGGCAGAGGTTGTAGTGAGTCGAGATTGCATCTCTGCACTCCAGTCCAGGCAACAGTGGGACTCTATCTCAAAAAAAAAAAAAAAAATTATAGCCAGTGTGATGGTGTGCACCTGTAGTCCCTGCTACTTTGGGGGAACCTGGGAAGTCAAGGCTACAGTGAGCTGAGATGGCACCAGTGCGCTCAAGCCTGGGGGACAAAGTGAGACCCTGTCTCAAAAAAAAAAAAAAAAAAAAGTAATAAATAACTGATTGATTTGTGCCTCTTCACTTATACACAGGTTCTTCTAATGACTCCATCTCTTCCACCAATCCTTGTAGGAGGCAGCATGTCAGTAGTTCTGTTTTGTGTCTCCAACTAGGGACACCACGAGTATAAGGCAGAAAACCTGACCATGGGGATGCCGCAGGGCCAGTTGTCCCACCCTTTCCCTGTAGGAAACAGTCTAGGGAGAGGCTGTCAGAGACAGAAACCACTGAGCCGCTTTGTGCGCTTCTCCAGGTGTGCGATGACTGTGTGGTGTTGCGTAGTAACATCGGAACAGTATATGAGCGCTGGTGGTACGAGAAGCTCATCAACATGACCTACTGTCCCAAGACCAAGGTGTTGTGCTTGTGGCGTAGAAATGGCTCTGAGACCCAGCTCAACAAGTTCTATACTAAAAAGGTACCCAGGATCTGTGTTTGGATTGGGGCTAGGGTAGGCATTGAAGACCAAATAGTGAGTTTATCTTTGGGAAGTTAAAATTCCAAAACCCGTGTCTGGAGCCACACTTCTGTCTCCAGCTGTTGGGTGGGGTACCTAAAGCTGTCTCGGAGGTCCTGGCGTCAGCCCAAGCCTTCAGTGGCCGTTACAGAGCAGTGGGTGGGGAACCATGGACAGCCCCCATGATGGGACCGCTCTCCCCCTGTGCCACAGTGTCGGGAGCTGTACTACTGTGTGAAGGACAGCATGGAGCGCGCTGCCGCCCGACAGCAAAGCATCAAACCCGGTGAGGAGAGTTTTTCCTGAGAGTGTCTTCCCTGTTTCCACCAGTCCTTCTGAGTGTCAGGGGTCTGGCAGGGAAGTCAGGGGTGGGATTCCCCACCGCACCAGTGAGCTGATAGCCCCTCCCTCACCACAGGACCTGAATTGGGTGGCGAGTTCCCTGTGCAGGACATGAAGACTGGTGAGGGTGGCCTGCTGCAGGTCACCCTGGAAGGGATCAACCTCAAGTTTATGCACAATCAGGTAGGTGCGAGCAGCAGCACAAGGCTCCCTGTAAGAAGGACCAGTGTCCAGGCCCCCAGTACTTCCCCAGCAAAGCATGAGAGAGGGCCCTCGAGCTAGAGGGAGAACTGGAGCAGCTGGACCCAGGAAAGAAATCCCAGGGGAGGGCACAGTGACGTTGGCGACCACCTGGCGCTGTGAAGGTGCACCAGGGAGCCCGCGGGGGAGGCTGGGCAGAAGCGAGGCCGGGTGGCCACGCTGCCCCATCCGTTGGACTCCATACAGTGTGAGTGGGAGCGTCTCACTTGGCCCTTCCCCTGCAGTGTCTCTGCCTTCCTCTATTCCCAGGGTATGCTTCTGCTTGGTGGTTTTGCTTTGAGAGTCTAGACTGGCCGATCTCTTTGTATCTTTCTGGTGTGCGTGCAGCTTGCGTGTGCGTGTGTGCGTGCCTGTGTGTAAGTAGCTTGTGTCTGTCCTCTCTGGAGTGTGTTTATTTGCCTTTTTCTTCTGCGGATTCTTCTGTTCTTTTCCTTCCTCTGAGTGTTCCCACTCTGTCCCCTGCTCCACAGGCCCCATTCCCCTTCTTTTGATTGGGAAGCAGTTCTGGATACATATTTCCCTCATTGTAATTCCACCATAGGAGCTGACTTTTTTTTTTTTTTCTCTCTTGGTCTTTTAACACAGTGTTACCTTTTTCTCTCAGTGGACATTCCTTAAGCTAATTCCTTTCTGAGGCCAGCGCATCATCCCAGGTCCGTTCACAGCTCTGACTCCTCACACAAGTGCCTTCCCTCCTCTTTCCCTGATGTCCGGGTTGCTCTCCCTGAGGCTCTGAGCCAGACCCGAATGTGTGAAGCCCCATAGCCCCTGGCCAGGCTGCAGACCCTCAGGGGAGGTGGATGCCTGACTGATGTGGCTGTCTCCCTCCCTCTGCTAGCCGTTGTATCTCTCTTCCAGGAACGTAGCTGGGCAGCTTTGGTTTAATGGGAAACAGCTGCCCAGGCTGCCAGCAGCCCCTTAGTGTATTTTCAATCTAGAACTTAGGGCGGTAGCCAACCCCAAAGACCTTAGGACCAGCCCAGAGAGGGGTCTACCTAAGTGCTTTTCTGGACCACAGAGGTGTCAGTATTTCTTGAGGAGCAGGCTCCTGACCACATTTTAGTGCTGTGGCCTCCCTGTCTGAAGATGAGATCTTGCTGAGCAACGCCCAGGTGCTCTGCCCTGTTCCTCGTCCTGCCCTTGGCACAGCCCCTCTGGGCAGCCATCCAAGCCAGTCTGTGGTTGAAGGCTTGGCCCCTAGAAGATAGATTGCGCAGAGAAGGGGAGGAAAGCGCAGCTTCTCAATCTCACCTCACAGTTAATAATGAGATAGCAACCTGTCCCTCTTCTGCCACACAGTGGTCAGTTGGACTGGAAGGGGCAGCAGACCTGGTGGAGCTGTGCAGTCTGGGGTGAATGGGAAAAGCACAGGCTTTGGTGTCAGGACATGCTTGGATTTGAAGCCCAGCTTCCACGTTCATGGGCAGAGAAACTTTCTGATCCATAGTTTCCTCATGTAGAAAATGGGGGTAATACTATATACTGTGTCATGTAGGCGCAGGGATTAGAAATCGTATTTGTAAACCCCAAGTATGTGCTCAGCAAGTGGTAGCGGATATTATTATCACCACATACCTCTTGGGAGATCCTGGATCCTGTTTCAAGGAGGATACCAATACCTCCCACCCCAAGGACAGTCTGAGGGGAGCTTTGTGCCCGTGCCAGCCCTCTGCGCCGGAGGAGGATGCATGGAAGGGTAGAGACCTGATGGGCTGAGTGGGGATCCCTGGGGCACGGTGTCTTACAAGCACTGCCCTGGGCAGAGGGTACGGGCGGGCAGCCCAGGCCAGCAGTGGGGCCTTCGGGTTGGGTTTGACCATTGAAACTAACGCCTTCATTTCTCTCCCATGCTTTCTCCTCCGGCCAGGAGCGGAAGGTACATGCCCTTTCTGCTATCTTCGCTTCTTAGCGCTTTTGAGTTGTGTGCGTGTGGATTCTTCTGTCCTCTCTTTGGGAAATAGACTTTCTTTGTGTGGGTGGGGCTGTAGCTGGGAGAGTGTGCTGTGTGGGGCAGGGGTGGAGCCTGTGGGCCTTACCCCGCCCTCCCTCCCTCTCTTGCAGGTTTTCATAGAGCTGAATCACATTAAAAAGTGCAATACAGTTCGAGGCGTCTTTGTCCTGGAGGAATTTGGTAATTACACTATTTTGCTCTTAGGTCTGGACTCACATGGCAGTAACTCAAACCTCGGAGCTCCAGAGGAGGGTCTAGGGTCAGGGAGAAGAAGAACCTCTGTAGAGAGGTCAGGAGGAGCAGGAGAGACAAGGAAGAAAAGGGACCCCTGAGATGAGAGCCGGGAAGTGGAAGGGAAAGATAGATAATGGATCACAGAAGAGCAAATGGGGCCTCAGGTGGGTTTCGAGTTTAGAGGTGGTCCTGAAGCAGCTCAGCGAAGTAGCACCACCTCCCCGTGCTGGGCCAGCCAGTGGTCAGAAAGTTTGGGATAGAGCAGACTGGTGACCCCCAAGCTCCACTACGTCTGTATCACCTGCTGCAATCTCTCTAGCAGCCCCGTCCTCCACCCAGCCTCCCTGGCACCACTCTGGTCTCCACCTGGCCTCTGTGCCAGACAAAGGGCACGGGGCATCGCAGGCAGACTCACTTGAGGGACAGAGGAGCCTAGCAGGGCAGCTGTAGCCCGAAGCTGGGAGCCAGCGCTAGGGAGTGGTGTAGTGGGTTCTCACCCTGGGGCTTTGAGTTCCTGCTGTGTTTGTGCTTCATTCTTTTGTGCCCCTCATCGCTGCTATGAAAACCTTCGTTCTCCAGCAGGTAAAGTGACCTCGGCTCGTGCTGCCTCTCCCCAGGTCTCTGCCTTGGGCCCTGCCCTGGGTGGGTAGCTCCCTTCCACCGAACCAGCTCCTCACACTGCCAGCTCATCTCTTCCTTTCTCCTCCACCCTCTTTCTTCCCACCTTGCCTCCCCCCTCTCACTGGCTCACTGGACTTTCCTCCCCGTGTGCTCCCTTCTCTCTTCTGTCAGAGAGATACTTGGGGGAATCTTCCAACTCAGGAGAATGGCCTGGGCTTCTTGCTCTACCTTTGATGAGTTTATTCCCTGCTGACCCTGAGTTTCCCCAAATTCTGCCTCCCAGGGTCAGAGGAAGGTACAGCCAATTCTCCTCCTGCCTTTTCTGGCCCCCAGGGAGATGCCAGGCCCCTCCGCTCCCAGTCTCAAGGGGCCATGATGATGGCTGAGCCTGGGGGGCTACTCCTTCCTCTGGCCAAGCAGAACCCCTGCATGGCTGGAGCGGGGGCTCTCTTGCCTTCCGGGCTGTGGACATGTGTGTATTTTGCCTGATGCTCCCTGTCACCTCCCTCCCTGGGTGCTGTACTCGCCTGTCTTCTGCTGGGTGTGTTGCTCCAGAGCCCTCAGACGCTCTCCCTCACACAGGCAGGCCTGGGCTTCTCCTGCCGCTCAGGGAAGGACACTGCCACGTCCTGTGGGTTTAGTATCATGTTACCTCTTCAGCCTCAAGACCCTCTATGTAGGGGACTGGGAATAAAGGGAACTGTGTTTAACATGACCCAATTTTCAGGCTGGTGACAAGATGAGTTCACGGGTGTCTCAGCAAAGTTGGACACAAGCTAGAAACAGCTCTCTCCTCCCAGCCAAAACCTGGGAATTCCCCACGGCAGCTCCTCAGGGGCCCTGGACAGTAGCCGTGACCAGGCTGGTGAAAGGTCCATCCCTCCCATCCAGGGCTTTCAAAGAAGTGGCTGGAATCACAGCCATCAAGTAAAAGCCACTGCGGACGGCAGAGGCCTAGCTGAGGAGGCTGGGGCCATGTCCTCCCAGCCGGCAGGGTCTGGACAGAGCCTCTGGTGGCCTCTGCCCTGTCATAGCCTAAGCTGCTGCAGCCACTGTGAGAGGCCACAGAGGGGAAGGGGACCCTGACGCCGGGCGCTGCCGCCTGGGGGAGCATGGCACTACTGCTCTTAGTGTTGAACTTTCTGTTTTGTCTCTTGCCCGTCCGGTTTTAGTTCCTGAAATTAAAGAAGTGGTGAGCCACAAGTACAAGACACCAATGGTGAGTGTGCTGCTCAACCCTGATGGGCCACAGTGTGCAGGGCTCCCTGGGGACCTTCGGACAAGAGGAGGGGTGGGCCCTCTGAGCGCACAGGGTTGAGTGGGGACCTGGTCTTGTTGCCAAAGGTTCAACTCAAGCTGAAACAGGTCTTGAGCCCCGGGAGACAGACACACACACATGGATCCCCTCTCCCACGGGGACAGCTTCCTTGCTTGGAGCTCACGTTTAGTCCAGAGGCCCATGCCCAGTGTTAGGGCAGGAGTTGCCCATTGGCAGATCCTCCACACGTGGAGATGCAGGAGTCTCAGTATCGTGATCCGCTTGGTTTTCTCTCCCCTCTAGGCCCACGAAATCTGCTACTCTGTATTGTGTCTCTTCTCGTACGTGGCTGCAGTTCGTAGCAGTGAGGAAGATCTCAGAACCCCACCCCGGCCTGTCTCTAGCTGATGGAGAGGGGCTACGAAGCCGCCCCAGCCCAGGGCACACCCCTGGCCCCTTTCTGTTCCCAAGTGCACGATGCTGCTGTGACTGAGGAGTGGACGATGCTCGTGTGTCCTCTGCAAGCCCCTGCTGTGGCTTAGTTGGTTACTGGTTATGTGTCCCTCTGAGTGTGTCTTTGAGCGTGTCCACCTTCCCCTCTCCACTCCCAGAAGACCAAACTGCCTTCCCCTCAGGGCTCAAGAGCGTGTGTCTGTGGGGCTGGTGTGAACCCACTGTTGTGTGTCCTTGAGACATTTGTGTTGTGGTTCCTTGTCCTTGTCCCTGGCGTTGTAACTGTCCACTGCAGGAGTCTGGCTCACCCTTCTCTTTGACCCGGCACGACTGGGCGCCTGGAGCAGTTTCACTCTGTGAGGAATGAGGGAACCCTGGGCTCGCCCTCTCAGAGGAAGGGCACAGAGAGGAAGGGAAGAACTGGGGGGCAGCTGGAGCGAGTGGCAGCCTCCCTGCTTCCTTCTGCATTCCCAAGCTGGCAGCTACTGCGCGGGGCCCGCAAGTGTGGGCTGCTGCCTGCTACAGCCTCCGTCACTGCAGTGGAGCAGCAAATTCCCTGTGGCCTGCCACGCCTTCGGCATCAGAGGACGGAGTGGGCGAGGCTCGTGGAGTCCCGGGGACCACTGGCTGCTCTGCCTGAGCATCAGGGAGTGGGCAGGAAAGGCCAAGCTGGGTTTGCACATCTGTGTCTGCAGGCTGTGTCTCCAGGCATGGGGTGCCAGGAGGGAGAGGCAGCCTGGGCATGGGCAAGAGATGACTGTAAATATTTCAGCCCCACATTATTTATAGAAAATGTACAGCTGTGTGAATGTGAAATAAATGTTCTTGACTCCCTTTGGGCTCCCTGGCTGCCTTGCATTAAATGACACCTCCTCTTGGCTCAGGCCTGAGGAAGGCTGTCCCTGGACTCTAAAAAGGCACCTCAGGCTGGAAGGAAGGAAGGAGATGAGGTCCTCCACGTCCAAGCTTTGGCACATGGAGGCCCCAGCTCCCCTGTTCTCGTCTCCCAGAGCAAGGCTGCGGGAGGAGCTTTCCTTCCTGGGCACCTGGGGGCCCTGCAGAGAGTTGGGCTGCCGTGAACTGAACGAACGGGCTGCTAGAGGGAGCAGCCAGAGGGTGTCCTCGCCTGAACTGAGATTAAGTGAAAGAAAGCCAAGGCCCTGGCCCTCTCCGTTCCCTTACAGGTGGGTATGGTCCAGAGAGGTGTGGTGACTCAGCCAGGGCCTCCCACAGGGCCCCGGACTCCTGGCCAGGAGTGTCTTCCACTGGGTAGAACTCCCAGAAGCTCCCCTAGGAGCCGCCTTCATGGAATTGTCCTGGATAAACCTGGCTGCGCTCTCAGGGAATTTCTGAGACCTGCTGGCTTCCCCCACCCAAAGGGAAACTGATGCTCGGATTTATGGGGAAGTGAGAGCAGAGTGGGGCCCTGGCCCTGACACCTTTCTGGTCCCCAGGGTCCTGGGCTGGATTGGGTTGCTGTCTCCCACTGGGGATATGAGTGTGTACCGGCTGTTGGCTTATTGATGGCTGGGACCGCAAAGCCACCTAGTGCAGCTCCACCCCAGGACAACACAGATTCTGCCTCACTCCACCCCCAAGTGGCTGTGACCGGGGCCGCTGGCACAAGGATCACGCTGAGTACCTAGGACCGGTTAAATGCGCTTTCCGCTGTCGCAGCTCAGTTTCATCATCTGAAGAGTGAATGCCGCAGGGGAAGACAGGTTCCTTCTAGTGTTAATGTTTTATGAACTCAGAAACCGCTCTGGGCCTGGTTTAATCATTGAGAAAACAACAAAAATATCTGCCCTCACTTTGCTGTGAAGATAATGTCCCTGGGCCTTTTTTTTTTTTTTTCTTGAGACAGGGTCTCACTCTGTCACCCAGGCTGAAGTGCAGTGGCGTGATCTCGGCCCACCGCAAACTCTACCTCCCGGGTTCAGGTGATTCTCGTGCCTCAGCCTTCCAAATAGCTGGGATTACAGGCATGCCACTATGCCCAGCTAATTTTTGTATTTTTAGTAGAGATGGGGTTTCACCGTGTTGGCCAGGCTGGTCTGGAACTCCTGACCTCAGGTGACCCGCCCGCCTCTGCCTCCCAAAGTGCTGGGATTACAGGTGTGAGCCACCGCACCTGGCCATCCCCTGTGCATTTTTATGAAAACAGGCACACTGAAATTGAGTGAGAAGAGTGAGTTTTCTGTGACTGCATTAATCTTTTATTGCCCAGTACACATTGGGAAGACACAGCAGGCCAGAAAGGCCTGTCCCCAGACATCCTTTCTTGAGGTCACCCTCCTTTTACCCCAAATCAGGAGCCGGGCGGTGGCTCAAGCCTGTATCCCACTTGGGGCCGAACGGCGATCACCAGTCAGATCGAACCATCTGGCTACACGGAAACCCCATCTCTTAAGAAATACAAAAACTAGCCGGGCGAGGTGGCGGGCGCCTGTAGTCCGCTACTCGGAGCGAGGCGGGAATGGCGTGAACCCGGGAGGCGGAGCTTGCAGTGAGCTGAGTCGGCCACTGCCTCCAGCCTGGCGACAGAGGAGACTCCGTCCAAAAAAAAAAAAAAAAAAAAAAAAAAAGAGCTTCCTTCAGGAGCCCTGTGGACCAGTCTGTGCAACACCCACTCAGGCCTGCCCAACATAGCTGTCCTGCTGATCCCCCACCGCAGCCCAGGAGACACACTTGTCACACACACATCCAACAGCAGGGAGCGGTTTCCCCAACTTCCCTGCAGGCTCCTGGTATGGGGCTGGCATCTTGTACCTGCAACACAGGTTATCTTATGAGTGAACGGAGGCCCCCTACAGCCTCCCACTTACTGATGGCTGCCCCCCGACCAAGGGCCAGGGCTTAGCCACTGACTTGTGCCCTGGGTGTCAGGTGGTCTGGAGTACATACCTGGCCATCCCCGGGAGCCAGCCTGGTCACTGAGGCACTGCAGAAGAGGAGGCCATGTCATTGTGTCCTCCCAGCCTTCTGGAAGCTAGTACCCATCTGGTCATGACAGGGTCCTTGCCCTTGCAGTCACAGCAGGTGCTTGGCCCGGGACAACAGAGCAAAGCCCAGGGTCCCCACTGCTGCCTTGCTCTTCCCGCCTCCCAGGCCCTGGCCCCAAGGGCTCCTCACCTCGCACCTCCAGGCGGCACTCACACTGTGCCTCGCCCTTTAAGTTGGCGGCCCTGCAGACATAGATGCCTCCGTCAAACGGGCAGGGCTTTCTAATCTCCAGAGTCAACACTCCCTGCTTGCTGAACATGCGGAAGCGGGCATCCTCTCCCAGGTCCAGGCCATTCTTGAACCAGGAAATCTTGGGCTACAATTAAGGTAAAGAGAGGGAGGGAAGCCATCCAGGCTGAGAGGGGACCTGGCAGGGACCCAGGGAGACGCATTTCTGTTTATACTCGGTGGGGGGTGGTCCCACGGAGTCCCTGACTATGCCCAAGGCTGGAAACAAACATGGAACCAACAGCGAGTACCACGGCCCTGCCCAGGGAGAGAAACCCGGTCCATACACCCCAAGGTGGAGAGAAAGCAGAGGAGACAGGCTGGGGAGAGGACTGCTCGACATCCGGGCCTGTGAGCCCCGCCTCCTGGTCGGCCTGGACCAGTGCCTAAAGTTCCCTACCTTGGGACTACCCCGGACAGCACAGCAGAGCATAGTGGTGTAGCCTGCGATGACCGAGCGGTTCACCAGGGGCTGGGTGAAGCTTGGGGCCTCAGAGAAGTCCAGGGCCTTATAGTCGGGTGGCTCATAGGTGATGCCTGTTGGTGACAGGACTTGGTACTGAGAGGGCCACACCAAACTAGGCCCCCCTCCCTGTTCCGATGGCCTCCCTGCCCCAGCCCCTGCTGGGGAGAATGAGGGTACAGCACCTGGTCTGGGGATAAAGACGGGCTCCTTGGTGGTGGCCGCTGTGTCACTGGAACCAACCATATTCTGGCTGAAGACACGGAAGTAGTAGCCATTGCCAATGATGAGCTCTGGCACCACGCAGTGGGTGCGGCGGTAATGCTCCAAGACGGTGAACCACTCCTGGGGGCGGGGAGGGAGGGGAGGCATCTCTGGGCCAGGCCTTCCCCGATGCCGAGAGCCTCTCCTGGGTGCCCTGGGCATCTCCACCCGTACTGTGGAGGGACTCAGATCAGCAGAGGGAGGGTGAGGGGCCCGTGGTGAGGACAGTGAAGGGTGGCTGCGGCCTGGGTCTGCCGGGCCTAGGCAGAGTGCACGTGGAGACCCCAGACCCCGGGCTCACCATGGTCTTCTTGTCAGCCTTCTGCACTGTGTACCCCCAGAGCTCCGTGTTGCCATCATCCTGGGGTGGCTTCCACTCCAGAGCCACATTAAGACCCCAGGCCTCAGTGACCCGGAGATCCTGGGGAGGACTTGGCTTGTCTGCGGGAGACAGACCCAGTCGGGTCACCACTCTTTCCGACAGTGAGCAGGGGGACACCGGGCTCCAGGGACTATGCCACCCCTACCAGCCAGGGCCAGGCCTGCTGGGGCACTGAACTGGAAAATGTGAGCTGTGGGTTGGGTCAGCCCTTGGACCCAGCAGCCCAGCTCAGGGATGGGAAACAAGGGGGCTCAAAGAGGCCTTGGCCACGCACCGACAACCTGCAGCACCAGGGTGGCCTTGTCCTCCATGTTCTCAATGCGCACCGTCACCTGGTAAGTGCCTGAATGCGCGCGGCGAGCGGCCCGGATGAACAGGATGGTGTCTGTGGGGCTGTTGCGGACGCTCACCTCCTCGCCTGCCAGGGGCTGCCCCTCTTTGGTCCAGGTCACCTGAGGCCGGGGCTTGCCCTGAGGGGAGGAAAAGCTTAACCCTGAATGTGGATCTCTCCAAAGGCCAGCTGCCACCCCCACCTCTGGAACCTCAGATTGGGCCAGCCCTGAGACATCAGTCCACTGGATGGAAACAACACACCATAGCCTCTCTCCCCTGGGGGACAGGGAGGGGCCAGTCCCACCTGGAAAGGGATGAGGAGGTTCACAGGCTCCCTGACCTTCTTCTGAATGGTCTGACGCAGGTGCCTGGGCAGCTGGAGCCGTGGCCGTTCTGTGGATACAGAGTGGGTAGCTAAGTGAGGGCCTGCCATGGCTCTGAGGGGCGCCACAGCTCCAGCCTCCCTTGAGACAAGCCCCAGAGAGCTGCAGCTAAGAAAAAAGCCGCCTGCTGGGCCCTGCACCTCCTTTTAGCTCCTGCTGACACAGCAACTCCAGCCTGCCCAAGCCCAGCTGGCTTCCCCGAGCCTCACCACACTGCTTCAAGAGGCAGGGATCAGAGAGGGTAAGCAACTTGACTGAAGTCACACAGCTAGTAAGTCATAGGCCAGGGTGTAAACCCTATGCCCTGTGCTGTTTCCACTCGAGTTTGCTGCCTCGTTCCAGCTTTGAGAACCAATCCTTACAAAAGATGGACCCTTTGTTGGGACAAGGAACAGAGGAATGGGAAGTGGATCCCAGAGGGACCAATCTGATGACAGACATAGACAATACTTACCTGTTGGAGCTGAGACGCTCCTGGAAGAGAGCTTGGGTACTGTGGCTTTTATTTTCCCTGTTCCAGAACTAGGGGTCTGACATAGACCAAGAAAGCCTTTTCCGCACTTTTTTTTTTTTTTGAGTCATTGTCTCACTCTGTCACCCAGGCTGGAGTGCAGTAGTGTGATCTCAGCTCACTGAAGCTGCCACCTCCCGGGTCCAAGCAATTCTCCTGCCTCAGCCTCCCAAGTAGCTGGGGGACTACAGGCACCCACCACCACACCCGGCTAGTTTTTGTATTTTTAGTAGAGACGGGGTTTCACCATGTTGGCCAGGCTGGTCT